CAGCGTGATCATAAATCGTTGTGTACATCACCGTACATCACAGCGTGATCATATATCGTTGTGTACATCACCGTACATCACAGCGTGATAATATATCGTTGTGTACATCACCTAACATCACAGCGTGATCATTCGTTGTGTACATCTCAGCGTGATCATATATCGTTGTGTAGATCACCATACATCACAGCGTGATCATATATCGTTGTGTACATCACAGCGTGATCATATATCGTTGTGTACATTACCGTACATCTCAGTGTGATCATATATCGTTGGGTACATCACCGTACATCACAGCGTGATCATATATCGTTGTGTACATTACCGTACATCTCAGTGTGATCATATATCGTTGGGTACATCACCATACATCTCAGCGTGATCATATATCGTTATGTACATCTCAGTGTGATTATATATCGTTGTGTACATCTCAGCGTGATCATATATCGTTGTGTACATTACCGTACATCACAGCGTGATCATGTATCGTTATGTACATCTCAGTGTGATTATATATCGTTGTGTACATCACCATACATTTCAGCGTGATCATATATCGTTGTGTACATCACCGTACATCTTAGTGTGATCATATATCGTTGTGTACATCACAGTATATATCATTTAACATGATTTTGATAGCGTATACGGCATTTTCAATACAGTTTACAAAGAACACTTTACGTTCATATCATTTATCTTGGATGACATATTATGTAATAGGTGTACCAGAAGTGACATCGCCACAGTCGTTTCTGCTTATTTTCTTTGTGGTCTCATTGTGGCACTCTGTGCTATGGTGGCTGTTATGTGTTATTTCGTAATATAGTTGCGAATTATTGATAAATACACTTCCCAGCGACAGAATGAGTATCTTCCTGTTTCACAATATGTTATAGAATTGGATGTATTTTTCCTAAAACCAAGTACTCACAACGGTTTGCAAAATGGAAGGTGAATTGTTTCTATATGACTGACATTACCAAATTCCCATATTTCACGAGAGTATAACAAGATAGGAACAACTACGGAGACAAATAATTTAAACTGAACTCAATCGGTACTTTTAGATTTCTATTTTTGTTTTTACTTTCTTGCCATATTAAAGTTGTCATTGTGATTAAAGTGCACACCAAGAAATGGAAAGGAATTTTCGATGTCTAATTGATAATTGTACAATAAAATAACTTATAGTTGCTTTTCTTTTAGAAAATATAACAATTTTGGATTTGTTTGTGTTAACAAGTTTCCATTTCTGACAATATTCTTGAAATTCATTAAACATTGTTTGTAACCCATCAGCTGTCTCCGATAACGTTTTTACACAATATGATCATGTTATAATTAATCAATTTTAAACAAGCAATTAACACGTGTTTTAGAAAAAAATGTTTTAAGGCCATTAAAATACACGGTAAATAGAAAATTAGAGAATTTTTCTCAATTTCGTATAAACGGCGGGTCTCGCCTCCGTGAGCGGGAATGGCGGAGCCCCAGAAGGGAAATACAGCATACTTTTCAAGTCCTACTCCTCCTGTAGGATTTAATGTATTTCGTCCAAATTTGGTCTCAAGGATGATTGGGCGAAGGGAAATAATTGTTATATAAATGACAGGTCTTGGCCCCCTAGGGCAGGGGTGCAATAAGCAAAATGAGTTATGTCGTTGAAACAATCCATAACCATACATAGATTTATTTAGCATCAAGATATTAACTCTATCATGATGACAAAATTGGCCCTGGCGTGTGCCCTCAACCCTCGGGAGTTTCTGGGTTATATATCTTTGAAGCAGTGGAGATCCCCATGACGAGATAAATACATTCATGATGCATGGCCCTTGGGTGTGGCTCCACCCAACTGGACTTAATTGATGGAATACATCTTTGAAACCATTGAGATCCCTACCCCATAACCATATATAGAATTGCTTGGAATCAAGAGACAATCACAATCACAAAAACAATCGTGATATAAGAATCGACCCTCGGGTGTGACACACCTTTAGAGACTTAATTTTTAGGTCAAAGAGACAGACAGTCGTGATATAAAAAATACTTATTGGCCTTGCCCTGTTAAAGAGGTTACGTGATTGAGCTTTAATTTGGAAATATTTGAAGAAAAAAAAAATTCTATAGGCACGTGTAGCATTGCTAGGCTTCAACATCCATGTGAGCGATATAAACTCTTGTTAAACATTAAAGTCACTCTAAAAACCACAAGCCTAATCATTTATGTGTCATTTGCGGTCAAATATTGTTGCGGTAAGAATGGATCATTAAATCGTAAGGTTAACAAGCAACGCTGTATATAGCATTAAACTCAGAAAATAGACGTCACGGTGAATGCTTTATGTCTATACAGGGCCCAGTGCTATCAAAACGTGTATATGTATGGTGACAAATTTCACCATCGGAATTATTGGCATTAAGTTATCTTGTGTTATCCATTTATCTATGAAACAGACGATATTCATCAACGTCTATAACAAACAACTGCCTGCACTGATATATAGGTTTTTTATCAAACAGTGTAGGTACATTTGATGTACGAAAACCATAAATAGGCGCTATGATTATTTATAGAATCGATTGTCAGGTTAAATGGTTAGGGCAAAAAAACTCCCGCTCAAATAATAGTCTGCTCATTGTTTACATAAAGTACAAATATAATTACTTGTTTAAAAAAATCATAACCGTTGTTCACTGAAAGAAATTCATGATTGTTTTGAAAACTCTTAAACCGCACATGTAAGCTAACAAGTAAAAGCTAAGACGTATTTTGCGTAATTTTCTTTTTTCCCCAAAAAGGTTCTGAAAATTCTTTGAAATCCTTGCACATGTATGACCGAAAAGAAACATCATGACACATATGTCGTTAGAGGACCATGTGAATTGATAGGGAGTATTGTTAATGTTAAAACTTCATTGTTCATGACAGAATGTTGTAAATGTCAATATGACATTAAAGTAACTACCGGCGTGTGAAATTACAATATCATCGGGTCAATAGGCCATACAGCAGGCGGAAGTCGATTGGAGACAACCTTGTTACACGTCACAACGAGGTTGACAATTGGTGCCGAGCCATTTGATCTGGTAAAGGTCAGCGACTGACCTTGGACAAGATATCCGTCTGAAATAAAAAAAAAAAAAAAAACACACACATCTAAAACTGTAAAATACATTTCTTGTCAATCTTTATTAATATTTTAAAAAAGATGGACAATAGTTTCTGTGATGTTGTCTGTACTTATGGGATCAGAGTAACAAGCTGACCTGACGTTCTTTCTTTCTTTATTGAGTTTTAGTTTTATGTAGGTGTTCTGATACAGTATCAAGTGGTCACTGTGACCGATAACAAGAGTACATGACCAGTGTCTTAAAACATAAGCTTTATTTTGGCGAGGGTTAAGAAAGACAAAAGGTGCGAGCCTGTAGATGATTTAAATGAAATAAAGTAGATCGGAAAGTAATTCCGCAGAGTTATTGCACGTGTTAAGATACAGCTGTTTCCAGTCACGTAAGTTTTACGATTCCTTGTGGGGTAACTTCGTTAAACGTTTTTAGAACTAGCATGTCCGGAGAAGCCTAAGCTTGGTGTGTTGACATCCCCATCCCCAATCCCCCATTTTTTGTCAGATGCTGATTTTGTCAACTAAAAATATCTCCAACAGGATTTTGCAATTTCTCACTGACTCACAAATTAAAACTATCTATATGGTGGCATGTTTAAGATATCAACATTGGTAATTTAACTTTAGTTATGACACGGCCAGTTTGCTACAGAAATGCTAGCATCAGTTAGAATGTTCGCCGGATGTTCTTTGTATGTTGTACAACGGAAGTGGTTATGTTACAGCTGGACTTATCTTGTCAGACATCGAAAATTACTCCTGTTTTTCACATTCCTTCCGTGAACATAATTTGAATGTTTTACTCTGGTATATATCAAGTTTATCATCTGTTTCACTTTTAATACCTCGGTGAAATGAAACTTTTTACCGATACGAACAGAATATGATACTTACTTAGTCTAACTTGGTCGTTTTATAATTACTGAACTCGGGCCTTTAGGCCTCTATATATACAGATCCAAATCCTTCGGATACAATAGAACAATGGAACTGTATAAATTGTTATAGATCCAAGTTATCTTTCGTCTTATTTTGTTTGTTAATCGTTATCCTGTTGCGTGTTCTAAATCGATACCTAAGTAAGCATCTTATAAATCATGGCACAGTGTTTATAATAGTAGGACTTCAACATGTCTAAAGTCGATTGAAACACGTATCACCGAAAAGAACAAAAATAGGTGTGAAATATTGAAAGATTACTATTTTTATCAGCATATACAGTTCACACAGTTCACAACGGAGAGAAAGGGAAACGAGCCCAAAATATCTTATCTTGTTATCGCAAACGAGGAAGTAATAATCAAGGACCTGTTATAAAGACGCCACAGGGAACATTGTTCACTTCATCCTTCCCTTTCGGCTAATTCCTAAAATATGCCATGATGATATACAAACGCGGTCAAATTAATATATAAACGTGAAAGTACACGAAAAACTATATGAAGGATTAGACAAAAAATAAAAACTGTTAACATACAGGATATAATAATAGATTGTAAATATGTGCCTATAAGACACCTGGCCATGACTTAGAACGGTGTGTGATAAGTCAGTTGGAGCTCAGAGCGAGGGATTGAGATAAATATAATATCATTAAGTTCTTACTGTTCCTAAAAGCATCTTACTTCAATGATACTTTTTTCATGCTTAAATATGATTTTTCCCTCTTATGTGAGTCCCAGCTGAGTGTTGAACCCCTTACAAATTAATTGTAGAAAATTCGATGTCGAGTTATTTCCCTTCGCAGCGTTCTTCTTTATAGCTATGGAAACTGTTTACAAATGGCGGCTGTCAGACCGATAAAGATCTTGTATGGCGAAACTTAGTACATGTAAACTGAACCGTTTATTTTGTTCACAGTCGGTAATCAACTATGTAATCACTCAGGTTATTGTTTATTTTCTGTGTAAAGTATTCATTATATTGGCAAATAGCTTGAAATTATATTATTTGAACACTTCACATCCATGTAGGATGTGACGTAATTAAGCTTAGATTTCTTCTTTGTATATAGTGCGAAATAGTGCAAAATACAGGATGTGACATAAAGTAAAACTGACATAATATAGTAGCCTATACATCGATTAATCTAGAATTTGGGGAATAATTCCCATTGTGGAAGAAAGGTGATTTTTTGGGTTATTTTGAAAAATGGAGGAATTTTAACAGTCCTTTTTGTCACAGTTCAAGAGAGGGATAGGGTAAAACTATATGCCATACATGAAGATTACATGAATGAATTATGACAATGTTGAGTTCATATCGATATTTCTTTTTCTTGACAGCATGACTTGAAAACATTTTAAGTAAAAATATACTAATTAGTTCTGTAATTTAATTAATTTTGCAGCCTTTGGTTATCTTATTGTTATTTAACGTTTGAACAATAATATGATTTTTCAAAGAACAAGTACATGTACAGTGTACTTTCATCACCTGAACGTGTTGGTGTTGCCTGAATCTAGACTGAACATTTCTGTCTCTAAAATGATAATTTAAGGTCAGTGTTCACAGCATTTGTTCTGCTGTTGTGGTTATTTACAATTTTACTTATTATGTACATTTTAGATGATCATAATCAGTAAAAATGAAAATATCAATAACAGCATAATAAATGTGAATATTGACATAATATCATCAATTCAGAGACAAGAAATTTCAGTCTAGACTGAATCCTGATCATGGACTGGAATATCTACTGAAAAAGCATTTGATACACCTGTGAGCTCGTTTGAACTTTCTAAAAATGTTATGTATAACTGCAAGAATGCAGTATTTTTGCCATTGTAATTTTTTTTAATCTAATATGCAATTTCCTTTTATCACTTAGGTATCCTAAGGAAAAATTCCAGCTGGTGCTGGGGTTGTATAGTGTATGAAGAGTGTTGTTCAACATATTACATAGCTCATGATTTGGTCATCTAGAAGATATTGATATAACAAGACAAAATGGCAGCAGACTGGGGAAGAAAGGCTGCTAGTAAAATTGACAGGACTCAGTTCAGTAAGGATGAACTACTGAAATCTTTGGGAAATCAGTTTAATGTTGACTTTACCGACTATGATCAGTGGACCAGAAAAAACAAACCTGTGACACGCCCTCCTCCTCCTCCTAAAGGTATGTGACCATTGAACGTATTTTCAGTAATACGTTTCTGTATATATATTTTTTTCATTATAGGATATATGAAGTGTATCTTTATATCTTTATTCTGGTTCAGAGTTTAAATCCAATGATTTGCAAGCAGTATAAGTCTGAGCTCACTCATTAGCCCTTCCATATATCATAATTGGTTTTTATTTTGATTACTGATAAATGCTGTTTCATTTTCCTGTAATTACTAAAGAGGCTAACCCTTGACTATTGCTCAGATGTAAGTTGTTGTTATCTTGTGCTCATTGTGGGGCCATGATAGCTTAGTCAGTAGAGTATAGGCCTACCTAATGTGGAAGTGTGAGATGTGAGATGTGGTTCAATACTGTACCTGTGGCAGTTTGTGTTTCTCAGGAAACTGAAAAATAGACTGGTCTGGCTATCACAGTTGTGTCCTTGGGTAGAAACGTTACAGGCAAATCCAGAAAATTGACTTATCAGATGGAAATAAAGTAATATTACTGAATATGATTTGTAACTTATTTTAGTTCAATGATGTCTACACAGACTAGGAAATAAACATAAAAAAATAAAAAAACAATTACAACGATTTTTGTTTTGTTTTTTATTTACTGAAACTGGTCCTTATATTCCTTTATGATAATTGCTGTAGTGATACATTGTTTTCTGCTCCAGGAACTCAAATGATATTCAACTCAAGACACTCATTAAATACAATTTCACACTTGTCATTTCTTTTTTCAATAGGAGGCAAATCTGTATCTATTCGCCGCACTGCTAAGTCAGCTGACAGTTGTCAGCATGGTACTGGACCTGGTAGGGGTGGTCATATACCAACACTAAAGGAGAAAAAACAGGCAGCTCAGAAAAAATCACTAGACAAGGAACGAGTGGAGAGAGTAAAGATCATTGAGGTAATCATTCTTCTCTTTGTTGTTTATGATTGTTAATATCAACTTCCTTGGTATCCTGGGATTACAAATTTTATTTTACTACAGACAAGCTGAATACATTTATATTCAGGGCAAGCAAAGGCTTTTATTTAGATCCAATAGGGCAGTTAAAGCCTTTCAATCTTTTTGGAGTAATGACACAAGTTTCTTGAAATTATCACTTAAATCAAAACAACATATAGATACATCTTTGATCTCAGATGGAATGTGTATCACATCTACTTTGGATAGAAATAAACCATAATGTAACATGCACATTAGAATACCCACCTTTACACGATAGAAACAGTCATAGACGATGTCACAAAACCAGAACCAGGTCAAATTTATGAAACTATTGGTAACTTGATCGAAATGAAACAAACTATGCACAGAAGTGATACTTCTTGAGGGAGATGCCAAAAGGATAGAAAAAACATGCTTACAAAAGTTAATCCTGTGTAAATGTAATATCATTTACTAAACAATATAGAGATATTTTTTATCTGATAAACAATGATCTTTTAATTGACATAATATGCTATAGTAGTCTTATAATGAAATACGTTTACTTCTTATCTATGATGTCAGAATATAAAATGAGCCCCATTATCAGTACTTCATGGTTAGAATCCAATGTATTAGTGCCCTGATAAAGCCTCGCATCCGAGACAAAACTAGTCAACCAATAAATAAGCCACTCACAGGTGACATGTGGTGTGTTATGATTGAAACCTATCTGGATTGATTTTTATATTCTGTTTCATCGCCATGTATACCTGTTGGTATTCACACCCAACACTCAGTGCACCACTCATCAACCAATTCACTTTGAAGCATCACTGGCTCTTCCTTTTCTGGTGAAATAAAAACAGTTACATCTTATATGTCAGATATTATAATAAAAACAAATTTTCTTTAACAGCTGAGAATAAGAACAAGAAAAAAGACTCTTGAGGAATACCAGAAGCGATACCATGAATTGTATCCTTTTCTGTTGATATGTTTGATTGCCATGATACACTAGTGTTAACAAAGTCTTAATCTTACCTAGATGTTATTATAACATTGGTCTGAATTAAGTACCCTTCTCACCACTTTTTAAATCTAAGTTAGAAAACATGAATACATATTGTATGTTTATTCACATAAAGATCAATTATATGAACTGTAACAAAATTTAAAAATGTGGGCTTTTTTCTTGAATCCTCCCTGATACAATTTTTGTGACCCCTCCCTGACACAATCTCTATGACTCCTCCCTGAGATCATCTTTGTGACCCCTCCCTGACACAATCTTTGTGACCCCTCCCTGACACAAACTTTGTGATCCTTCCCTGAGATCATCTTTGTGACCCCTCCCAGACACAATCTTTGTGACCCCTCCCTGACACAATCTTTGTGACTCCTCCCAGACACAATCTTTGTGACCCCTCCCTGACACAATCTCTATGATCCCTCCCTGACACAATCTTTGAGACCCCTCCCTGATACAATATTTGTGACCCCTCCATGACACAATCTTGTGACCCTTCCCTGACACAATCTTTGTGACCCCTCCCTGATACAATATTTGTGACCCCTCCCTGACACAATCTCTATGACCCCTCCCTGACACAATCTTTGTGACCCCTCCCTGACACAATCTTTGTGACCCCTCCCTGACACAATCTTTGTGATCCCTCCCAGACTCAAACTGTGTGACCCCTCCCTGACTTAATCTTTGTGACCCCTCCCTGACACAATCTTTGTGACCCCTCCCTGACACAATCTTTGTGACCCCTCCCTGACACAATCTTTGTGACCCCTCCCTGACACAATCTCTATGACCCCTCCTTGACACAATCTTTGTGACCCCTCCCTGACACAATCTTTGTGACCCCTCCCTGACACAATCTTTGTGACCCCTCCCAGACACAATCTTTGTGACCCCTCCCAGACACAAACTTTGTGACCCCTCCCTGACACCTTCTTTGTGATCCTTCCCTGACACAATCCTTGTGACCCCTCCTTGACACAAACTTTGTGACCCCTCCCTGACACCATCTCTATGATCCTTCCCCGATACAATCTTTGTGACTTTTTTGTAAATCATCTATTTCACAATTTCTGAAAAGACCTTGACAAGATTTTAAGACTTGAGGAGAATATAAAGTTGAAAGCAGATATAGATGAAGATGAAATGCACACAATGAGCCATGTGAAAGGTTTGCTGCGGCGATATGAAAAATACAGGGTAAGTGAAAAACATTGAGTGTTATTTGTTTAGTAATGAGTATGTATTAAATGCAGTATAGGGTTTATGTGACCCCTGTGGTTTTCCTTTTTGTTGACCTGTTCACATAAAAAATGGAACAAATTATGTGCTTATTAATGTTACTGACATGGTTCTAGGTTAAGTAATGGTTCTGGTGTATATAAATATATATATATATATAAAAAATAAGCTGCAGTTGTCTCCCTTATGGTAAAGTATACAATGACCTGTTGTAGACAAGGCAGCAGTGACATGTTGTACCTGTACATTTCTCAAAGATCGTTGATACATTTTGATGTCTACTGACTTGATTTCAGGGTGGAATCACAACAATAAACACAAACTTTGGAACAGAGTTTGAAAATGCACAAGGTGAACTAGATGCAACAAAAGCTTTGACAAAGAACAAGCTTGGATGTGAGTATTAAACCTTTGATTTAATATGTTTCATCTATACAGGTATTCTTAAACTTCAATATTTATTACACATTTTTATTGAAAATGGAAAAAAGAAGGAATTTCAAAATGATATTTTATGCCCTTTTGATACAGCTCTTTGATAAAATTAAGTTTTAAACAAAATGATCAAAAAATTTATAGAGGAAGAGACATTAATATTTTTTTAATGAAAATAATATTGAATTGTGATTTAATTGCAGATTACTAGTATGGATACAGAATTCAGTTACATGAATTAAACTTGTTTCAGGATCCCGTAATCTTTATGTTTTTATTCGTTATTTATGTAATTCAGTTTTGAACAAAAAGAGATTTATAACAAATATATATATATTTTTTTTCAGCATTAGAAAAGCAAGTGTCAGAATTAGATGAATATCTGAAGCAGAAACAGGAAGAGCTACACATCTTGATGAACTATAAAGTGTGTAATATTTATGCTTGACAATTTATTTTGTAGAAATCCTAAAACTTTAATTTATAGACCATCTGAAAAATTTAAACCTTGTAAGAAAAAACACTTGGAATTAGAGTAGACTGTGGTGAACTGTCTTCCATTACATGGTTTTCCTGTTCTGTAGGCATCACAGTTTGTAAATTATGCAATATCTTCTACATCTCAGTTGTATTTTCTGAAAATGTCGCATGTACCTGATTGATGTGTATTTCTAAGTTGGATGTATTTTGATTTTAGGATAAAGAATATCCTGTGAAAGCTATGAAGATAGCTACATTACAGAAGGATATACAAAACTTAAAAATATCATGTCAGGCAAGTATTTATATTGAAACTTTATCATTTTGTCAGAAAGGATTCAACGTGAATCATCAGGTAAATAAAATGTCACAATATTATGTTTGATAATTATTAGAGAACTATGAGATACTAGTGTCAAATAAAAAAACTCACACAAGATCTCATGATAAATGATGGAATATATTGTCTCAAGGTATCTGTGATGTCAGTTAAGATCACCACAAATTTAAAGATGTCAGATGTGGTTTACAATACTGAATTACCTTTCACTGTTTGAATTGCTGTTTTAGGAAGATCAAGAAGACTTAGAACATATAATATACACAGAACTGTCGAAGTATGAAAAAGAGAGAAATAAAAATATAAACGAAACAACAAAGGAAATGACAGAGGTAAGTACAGAAATATTCACTTTTATAAACACATGTCTAGTATCACCCCATCACAACTGTAGGACACATGTCTAGTATCACCCCATCACAACTGTAGGACACATGTCTAGTATCACCCCATCACAACTGTAGGACACATGTCTAGTATCAACCCATCACAACTGTAGGACACATGTCTAGTATCACCCCATCACAACTGTAGGACACATGTCTAGTATCACCCCATCACAACTGTAGGACACATGTCTAGTATCACCCCATCACAACGGTAGGACACATGTCTTGTATCACCCCATCACAACTGTAGGACACATGTCTTGTGTCACCCCATCACAACTGTAGGACACATGTCTTGTATCACCCCATCACAACTGTAGGACACATGTCTTGTATCACCCCATCACAACTGTAGGACACATGTCTAGTATCACCCCATCACAACTGTGGAACACATGTCTAGTATCACCCCATCACCCTCCTGCTCCATTCCAAATTTCCTCACCCCAGACATATTTTTTGTTTCTTTTGTGTTTATATGATTGAATCAAGGCAAATAGAAAAATGATGGTTAAAAAAGAGTTAATTAGTAAGAAAATAGTGTAATGCTTCACTTTACCATGGTAATGTGAAGCCCCACCCCCCTGCCCCACCCTAAATTTCACCACCTTTTAAATTTTATTCTGTTTTATTATGTATTAAAGAACATAATTAAGTAAACTGATAAAATATTTAGTGAAGAAACAGCAATTGTAAACAAATTATAAAGCGGCTTCACTTTACCATGGGGGTTGGGGGTGGGTCATATCACCATAATGGTGAAATGAAGCGTAGTTCACTTTACCATGGGGGTTGGGGGTGGGTCATATCACCATAATGGTGAAATGAAGCGTAGTTCACTTTACCATGGGGGGTGTGGGTGGGTCATATCACCATAATGGTGAAATGAAGCGTAGTTCACTTTACCATGGGGGGTGTGGGTGGGTCATATCACCATAATGGTGAAATGAAGCGTAGTTCACTTTACCATGGGGGGTGTGGGTGGGTCATATCACCATAATGGTGAAATGAAGCGTAGTTCACTTTACCATGGAATTTACTTTATCATAATACAACAAAACACATTTCATGTCATACTCAAATCATCCACCAAGTTTGAAAACTGAGAGAGGAGATGTTTGGACAAGATTTAATGAGATGAACAGTGGACAGTAATGTGAGTGTAAAGTAATCAGATTTAAGTACATAATCACTTTTTGGCAAACTGGCAGAATGAAGAATTTGTGCATCAGTGATATTTGTTTTGTATAACCAATTATATCCAGAAGGAACAATTAGTGCATTCATAGTTTAGCACGAAAAAGTCAGAAAAGTGCTTAGATAATATTACTACTAAAATATGTATGTTTACAGTAAGTCATCCTAATATGGTCAAACTACTACTCAGGACAGCACAACTTCCTATCATTCTAATTAAGCTTGAAAGAGATTGCTTGAAATCTTTGGGAGGAGATCTTTGGACAATTAATTGATAGGGAGACAACGCTATACCATTATACATCTTTGTTTGAGAGGCGTATGAAAATCTTATGGGAAGAAAATAATGGCTATGTGTAGAGATGAACACTTTTCTTTTCATTTAAGCCTGAAATATAGATGTTTTTATCTCTAATATCAATTTGTAGAAAAAGAAGTTAACTCTGCTGTAGATCCATGTTAGAACTTAGAACTTTTAATCAGACCATAAAACCTTGTCATTTTAATTATCTTTTCCTTATTTTCAGAACTTGTTAATTATACTGTAGATTGATCTTTAAAACTACAGGGGTGCACAGTTACATAATTTGTCCGAGTTCCCTGGCAGATTACCAAAAATTCTTTTCTCCAAAACAGCATTCTCTACTTTCATGGCTACCATCACTGTGATTATTGTTATTTAGGCACAGTTTGGGCTTACGTGAAACTGTACATCCCTGTCAATGACAAGTTAGTTTTTCTGACATTTTTTGTTTCTGATTTTCATTTCTTTGAACATAACATCTTATGTAGTATAAGAGTTTATGGTACATTGGCCAGCTTGACCAGCCAAGCTATACTTGACCCTAAGTAATAGCTGCAATATATAAATATGTTACCTGTGTTTTTCCCAGTCGGGCTTTGATAGCTTGACATCTCCTGTGGATGATATAACCCACCAGGTAGGGCATAGATCATACTACTTCAACATAATTTTCTTCATTATTTAGATGAGAAGTACAAGATATATAACTAACCCTTTTTCCAATTAAGATTATCTTTAATTTCCCTTTCTTGCTTTCTGTTCATTATAAATAAGTAGTTCTTCTGTCAAATGTCACTCTCTGCAAAATTGGTGTTGGAGAAATTTGGTTGCAGGCAAGATTCTTAAATAAAATTTCTATTATACATGTTGTTGATAGGTCAAATGTACATGTATGTGTTGTTACTGTGCGGAATTCTAGGGATTTTTTTGTTAGAATTTTGGTCATGGGAATTACTAGTAACGAATAACATTATTAAAAAATATTTTGAACTTTTTGTAATAGACTGACTGTCACTTTGTAATAATCTATGTCATATTAAAACAACTTGATAACAAATTAGGCAGTACCAATATTGTAATAGGCTGTCAATGACTTTTGTCGTAACTGTGATCCAATATTATAATAGGCTGTCAGTGACTTTGTTGTAACTGTGATCCGATATTATAATAGGCTGTCAGTGACTTTGTTGTAGGTATGATCCAATATTATAATAGGCTGTCAGGGACTTTATTGTAACTGTGATCCAATATTATAATAGGCTGTCAGTGACTTTGTTGTAGGTATGATCCAATATCATAATAGGCTGTCAGTGACTTTTGTTTAGGTATGATCCAATATTATAATAGGCTGTCAGTGACTTTGTTGTAACTGTGATCCGATATTATAATAGGCTGTCGGTGACTTTGTTGTAGGTATGATCCAATATTTTAATAGGCTGTCAGTGACTTTGTTGTAACTATGATCCAATATTATAATAGGCTGTTAGTGACTTTGTTGTAGGTATGATCCAATATTATAAAAGGCTGTCAGTGACTTTGTTGTAACTGTGATCTGATATTATAATAGGCTGTCGGTGACTTTGTTGTAGGTATGATCCAATATTTTAATAGGCTGTCAGTGACTTTGTTGTAGGTATGATCCAATATTATAATAGGCTGTCAGTGACTTTGTTGTAACTGTGATCCAATATTATAATAGGCTGTCAGTGACTTTGTTGTAGGTATGATCCAATATTTTAATAGGCTGTCAGTGACTTTGTTGTAACTGTGATCCAATATTATAATAGGCTGTCAGTGACTTTGTTGTAACTGTGATCCGATATTATAATAGGCTGTCAGTGACTTTGTTGTAGGTATGATCCAATATTATAATTGGCTGTCAGTGACTTTGTTGTAACTGTGATCCGATATTATAATAGGCTGTCAGTGACTTTGTTGTAGGTATGTAGTAGGATGTCTGTATTTTTCAATATCTTATTCCTTTAAAGTTAGGTACTAGCCATTTTACAAAGATAGTGTCTATAATTCAGTAGAATTCTACCTAGATGTAAATGAAATATTCCATCGAATAGTATCATCTGTGCCCCATCATGTTAAACACCTCTTAGTGAATCAAATATTAAGACGACACATTAGAAATTGGAATCTTCGAAGCCATTTACTTGCTTTTAAATGCCAACAAATGATACCAGCTGTATTTTCACTAATTATTATATAAATTGTATTGAAGTTTAATACCTAGACTTCCTTGGCTTCATCCACACTGAGAACAGTATAACACCAAATCTTCTGACCTTTCACTAACTTGAAGATCTTTTCTTTGTTTTTATTAGATGTTTGGTGTAATTTTGGTGAGAAATATAAAAATTATTTCTTTCTACATTGAATTGGTATATACTTGTATATTTAAATATGTCTGGTGCCAGGGAATACATGTACATAATGTCAGAATACAGCCAAACAAAAAGTACATAGAAACAAACTTTTCTCGTATCATTAGCGGTCAGGAGACACAATGAACGAGACATAATCTATAACAGGATAAGAGAGTTGTTTGAAACTATCTGAATGCTAACATGAAAATTTTAAAGGTACTTTCTGACTTGAATTAGATATTGAATGTAAATACCCTTGGAAATGTGGTTATATAGGTACGACTTTGTAATAGTTAATCATTATACTTGGCCCTGGATAGAAATCATACCTTTTCTTTTTCTTTACGAATAGTTTTTACAGGAGGTGTGATACAGATAGCTTAATCATAAAGATATAATCTGAATTTGTATATCATCTTCAATTATTATGTGCTTTGATTTATTTACTTTTAAAATACACAAGTTAACTCCCTTGGTCTTAAAGATCAACTTTTGAAGGGTGAAGCTTTACAGTATTTAATTATTTGTTGTATGCTGTTTCTTGTGATGCATTGTATTGAGTCAAAATTCTGAAAACTGACATTTCTTTTTCGTGTGTGAAAATTTAACACATATATAACAATTGGTTTTCTAGGTCACCAAAACATCTTTTGAAGTTACTATATAAGATTTATAATATAGAGAGTATATAGCTGTAAACAATTAAACTACATGTTGTCCTGCTAGTGTAATTTGTACTGCATAACAAGATTAAAGTCAATTTGTAAATTGTGTTACAGACAGCAATATCAATGATGCACCCCAGTTTGAAGGACATGGCTTTACAGAATATGGTGATGAAAAAGGTGAGCATGCATCACTTCTTTTTATTCTCACTTGTTCAAAGTACTTGTTATCAATGAGATAATGTGCTTGTTTGCCACCATTCCCAGAGATATCATAAGACAATGATGAGTGGTATTGTTTCAAGAGAAAGACTTTTATTGAATATTGTTATATATGACAACCTGAACCAGTTAGGAAATACATGCATGATGTTTTGATGACTACACGCTGTCACTTTCATCAAATATGACTAGATACAATGCAACAGGCTGGTACTGGGGCTCATATGCTCTTGTACGTTAATTATCGGGTTACCATCAAAGAATAGCTAAATCAACTTGCATAGGATAGTACAGTACCTCCTGTTGTATGTATGAAATATCACCAGTTTGACCTGTTTTCACTATAATTCTATGTCACACAACATCCATCATAGCAGAATTATATCACCTGTAAATTTTCTTGCTGGTTGTAATATAAGAATATCTCTTCAGTATGTATATATGTCAAACCTGTTGAGAATGCTTCAGTATAAAGACTGCTTTTTTTATCATTCCAGGAGATAGAGATGAACAAACAAGTACAAGAGGACTTACTTCATGATAATCAACTTCTTGAGGCTGAAGTAGAACGACTCCTCAAAGATCCAAAAACCAATACAAGACTCCAGATGTTCCCAGAATTCTTCCCTACTCGAGAAAAGTAAACGTTTAAAAGATCTTATATTCCAGGCTTTTGATAGCATATCTGAGAATGTTTTATGTCTCTATAAGTCAAACTAAGTATAACTCTCACCTCAAGTCTTCACTAGAGGTTACATAAGCAAACCCCAACAAGTTTATTTGGTCAAAGGTCAAGGTCATGATAATTCAACAACAAATTCTTTTAACATGCAGAAATAATGACCGAGGGGTCTAATTGAAAGTTAATTAATAATTGTAACAATCAACAGGAGTCTCAGTGTCTGAGTAGTTAAGGCTTCTGTCTTTATTACTAGCCCTCTACCTCTGAGTTGCTGGTTTGAGGCCCATGTTGGGCAGTCACAAGGTTCTGATCACAGGTCGGTCGTTTTTTCCTGAAACTCACTGCACCACCCAAATCTGGCATGTCCTTACATAACCCTGGCTAGGACGAAAAGCAACAATAAACCAATCCAATCATCATGTCCATAATCATTAACAAGTACACAGTGCTTGGATATATTTGTCAAGTCCACAAAGTTTAAAAGGTCACTTGATAAGAAGGAATAATTACTTGTCGTTATTATGACTTTACCTTTAAAGTTCACTGGAAGGGAAAGGTAATATCAATCATATGATTTAAAGAAGGGAAGAAATCGTTGCAGTATTTCATACTATAAAACATTCTTTTTACAGGTGTACCCCAGACATGGATGTAATTCTTGACATACCCACACAAGAATGGCTTCCTATATAGTCCCTGCTGTGTGATGGATTGGAAAGTCTGGTCTACTGGTTACAGGAGATTTTTCTGATGATCAGCAAGCTTGCACAAAACTTCACTGCTGCCAATGCAGTTAAATGTGGAATACAATTATGAACAATTGTGATTTATGTTCATGATAAAAGGTTGAGGGATATAGATGTATTACATGAACATATTCTTTAAAATGTTGACATTGACATACTTGCCATGTCCTCATATTTTGGATGGAGATTGCTGAATTTTCAAAATAATTCTTGACACTCAATATTAGCAAAATCCTCTTCATCACTGATATACAATGAATTCATAGCATACATGTATCTTTGGGTTTTATTATTAGGTTCAACATTTTAAATCATTCCCATTTTTGTTATACTGTTATCTTTATCCTGATTTGCAATGTATGCCAAACTGTGACCATCTGACATAATGGATAAAAAAGTCCAGTTAAAATATTGGTGAGTAAAGGAAAAGAAGAAATAAATATTTAATATTCTTTTTGGTCTGGCAATCCCTAGAAATGTTTCACACACACTATGTTTAATAGTGTAGCATATCAGCAACATGTTCAGGGGAACTTATGGTCTGTTCTCATTCAAAGCATTAAGTTTTCAGCACTGGTAATATTAAATCTAGCTGTTGAAAATTTTACTTTAAATGTTTATTTTTCAGACACTTATCTAACCTGTAGCATTAGCTGATTAGCAAGTTTCTTAACACGCAGCAGTCATATAAATTCTCTTCAGACTTCAAAGATACTGTACTATTAAATACATACTGATATCTCTTTATACATGTATACATTACAACATTCTATTAAATCGCACATAATTTTTCTTTTGGATTTCCTTCTACCTGATATTTCCCTGTACAAAAATGACTTTGGGGAATTAACTGTACTAATTTCCCTCTGTTTCACTTCCATGGTGTAAAAAGGAGCACGAGACTTGTTCTACAGCATGTAGCATTGAATGACTGAGAGAGAACTGTATGATGTGAATAAAAATATTTGCAAGTAAATTAATTGTTGCTTTAAATCTTTTCTCCATCTATCTCCAGTTTTTTCTTGGCTATTTTGACACATTGCTACCTGGTAAAAGTTGGGAGATTTTGCGCTGTGAAAGTGCAAAATTTTGGGGGAAAGGGACAAAAGGGCAGGATGATCTATAGCCATTGTGTTTTATCCTTTGTCGTGCATTGTGCATAAACTTTCCATTCAGATGACTTCTTCTCAATAACCAGAAGTCTCAGGGTGCTGATATTGGGCAAGTAGCATGCTGGGATGAAGGGCTACCAAGTTTGCTTTTATAAATGACCTTGACTACTTTCAAGGTCACAGGGTCAAATATGTCGAAATCTTTAAATGACTTCTTCTCAATAACCAAAACGTCAATGGTCCTGATATTGGACCTGTAGCATGATGAGATGAAGGGCACAACTTCCTCTCAATAACAAAAGGTTCAGGCTGTTGATATTGGTTCTCTAATATAAGTGGGTGAAGGGCTACAATTTTGTTAAAATAACTGACCTTTACCTATATTCAAGATCTCTTGGGTTAAGTTAGTTGAGATCTTAAAATATCTTTTCCATCTAGCATTAGGTTTGGAGTAATGGAATTTGTGTAGTAGCATGTATCAAGAATATGATTTCAAGTTTGGTGAAAATGTTTTGTGAATCAACAATGTCTATTTTAAAGCTGTAGAATAGTTGAGCAATTTATTTCAGACCTATTTGGCCTTTTGCATAGTCTTTATAGTCAAATAACCGTTAAGGCCCATGGGCCTCTTGTTAGCTCAGCTGGTTTGGCATAACATTGATTGTGTTGTTCATCCGTCAACCAATTTTTGTATAGATTGATTGAGCAGATTTTGAAAAAATCTAGTCAGAAGCATCCTTGGAGGAAGGGGCTCTGAACCCCTTTTGGCCTGAAGGGGAAATTCTAAAAATTCTCTTTAAATCCTCCTTCCAATTGAATGTCCAAAGTCTGTCCCAGTTTGGTCAGATACATCCTTGGGTGAAGAGGAATCAACTTTGTAGAAACAATGGACTAGAGAAGTTGGCCCTTGTAAGAGACCCTATTGCAGAAAAATTGCAAATTCTTTAAAAATCCTTCTGAAGGAATGCATGTATTCTGTTTAAATTTGAGGGAGGTGCAGGGCCCTGGGGTTTGACGAGTAGGGCCCAATTGGAGAATAAATATAAACCTTTAGAATTCTTTTTCAGTGGGATTAAGTAAGATCAGGCAAACAAATTCAGGTGACCTATACAGGCCCTGTGGGTCTCTCGTTTGACCATTTTATCTTGTCTGTAAACATCTTAGTATTTCTCTGATATTATTTATATGTACATTTTAGAAACTCCGAAGTATTTTCTAGTAATGGGACTGGTCAATATTTCTATTGTATAGGTTGCTCTTGTCTCGCTTTAAAAAGCAATAACTGACATCTGTGGAAAAGGTGAAAAATTTTTTTTGATACTCATTGTTCATAATCTTCATTGATTCATTACAAGACTGATCCTTTCTGTGTTCCTCTTTGAAAAGTGATGTGTAAAACAAATGGTTTAACAAATTAGTATTACAAACTTCAGAGGCTAATCTCAAAACTCAAAAGATATGCGGAACTTGATGTATATTTTCTGTGACATCATGGTGTTTTAACGTTGTAGGTGTATGTGTAACACCAGTATTAAATTCAAATGAGAAGATGTAGTCGTGCCTTCTCTTGTATGTGGTACAATTTGTGATATGGTGCCATCTTCAGTATTCTGCCAACCTCAATGTGTCTGCAGGTAGCCATAAGGATAAAACACTAAAAATGTTGCATGCACATGGAGGACCCATACTAACATGTTCATCATGTTTCGCGCTAAGAAGAAAATGTTTAATGGACAGACTGGCATGCATTATATGCATGTAGACCACAGACAGAAAGGAATATGAAGATTCCTCCCTCACTGATGATAGGTAGTTTTACTACGTGAAATCACTTGGCTGTTTTATAGAGGTGGCATGTAAACTGGGAGCTGGGGCAATATATCAAGGATTTTCACTTTGAATAGTAGGCATTGGAAAATGGAAGTTTTTCTTACACAATTGAACACAAAATCCAATATATACTCTATTAAAAAGAATACATGCTGTATTCTATCACAATTTTAATTCACAGTCAAAAAACCAAAACTGTGTAGTATAACAGTTCCTTATACAACATCTCATATAAGTCAAATGTTCTCCAATTCACACTTATTACTGGCTCCACTGAACCTTCAACAGTTCCTTGCTTTCAATCTTCAAGACTGCCGGTACCTTTTGGTTCCATTCCTGGTTTATACTCTCCCTTTTCATAATCATATTGGCTAGAGATGCCAGACAAAATTCCACGTCTGTCTCTGATTAATGTCTGCAAAATAGCCTCTATTCCTCCTTTGTTCAACATAGCAGATGGACGTGGGAGAACTGAAAATCATGAAAATAAACATTTAAAATGATCAAGTGACAGGGTACAAATATATTTGAATACATGAATAGAGGCCTTATAAGGCTCAGCTGCAACATCTATAGGTCTGCCATTACTTGATAAACAAACAACCCTTGTCAAATTTTCTTTTTGACTATAAAGTGGCCAGCACTTCCTACTTTGTACTGATTGTATGCGTATATTAAACAAAGTGGATTGGGCCTTAAGTGATGCTTAACTGGCATATGCATGTAACAGCAGAATAAATGAAAGATACTTACTTAATTAGCATGAAAACATGTGCTAAATATATATATTATTCTTTGCAATCTTGATAGGGTCAATATATTTGCAATATTTCACACAGAATACCCGATAGTAGTTAGGGACAATACCAATGCATATTACCATGTGTTCCTACTAAGTAAAGATAAACACTTAGGTTGATAAAATTTACTCATTAAAACTTAACTTCTATTGTAATACTGTAAAATCACATCTTTCCATGGGGCTCAATTTTTGGTGTTTTTTCAGTGAAAAATCTTTTACAAGGACTTGATTTTATGCATTATCATAGATCAATCGATCTACTAATAGACAATTTGTGGATTAATGGAACTGACAAACTCAACAAAAGAAAAATCCACATGAAATGAGATATACTTACTGATGTAATCTTGAACCCACAAGAACACTTGTGTCATCAAGCATCCAAATAAAAATATGATGATTTGTCTCTTGACTTCACCAGTTGGAGCTAACATTTCTTCAAATGTATGGGCAAAAGAAGCTCTGTATACTACAAAATAAAATATATTGTATATCAAATAGATGATGCTCCATACATCACATGATCCTAATAAATTAAAACAAGATGACACCAGTATTAATACATGTATCTATTAAACATAGGGTATATGGAATCTTAGAGAGGTATAATAGAAGCCTAAGGAAGGAGAGAGAACTTGGGTGTCTGAGAAAAATTGTCTCTGAACCTTTATAATTATTAATTGGGGAGTAAAACCCAAGCTGTCGCAGTGAAAAGTGATTACACATGAATATATATATATATGCACTAGTGATGTCAACTGATATTTGAATATTCAATTTTTGTGATTATAAGTTGTAAAATAACTGGAACATTGCTATAATTCATCTTAAGTCATTTTTCTTTCTGAATAGAATTTTGTCAGCAAGAACAGAGTTATAGTAGTATTCAAAGTTTTGCACCTGCTCAATCCATCATGACATTTATTAGCCTATTTTAGGAGAGCTTGGGGTCACTCTATTCTGGCAAGTTTTGCACTTAGTGAACATGAAAAACAGATCAAATCCATGTTTGAAATACTGTAATGCTGTGATCCTTGGCCTTACAGCTCTGGCGGCGACTTTAATCAGTACTTATTTAGGTCTTTTCTGTAGAACATTTACAGACAGTCATTCTATGGGATGATATAAATATTGACAATCATGCGGGTAAATAGCCATGACCATTATGTACTTGTTGTCATAACACTTCACTTTTGTCTTTGAAGATGTTTCACACAGAATGATTTCTCCCTGATCCTGTATGTCTGTATGTACGATGTATTCTCTTTATTTGTAAATATTCTGTATGTCATCTGCATTTGATCTTATCCGTGTGTAAGCAAGCTTTATGCTCAACATGTTATCAAGTATAAATAAAACCAATTATCATCTTGCAAGCCTGGTTATTTCTGTAGCAAAGCCTTCTTTCACTTTCACCAACTGTCATTCCCACACGTTTCTCCTCAGGTCTACATTTTACTATCATAGCTCTCAACTATTATAAAGATGTATCTAGTAAGCAGATCTTATTGTATATTGCTTTACAATGATAAACATCATCATCTGAAACAGTGCCTGGTTTCACTGATGGAATACAATACACTGAAGACATTAAATGATAGACTTTGAAATGATTATTTCAATATTCTAATATTTGAAAGTCAACATTATTTCACTCATTCTACATAATTCAAAGCAGGGACTACCACAAACTACTTACAGAATCTTTTATCTTCTACTGTGAGGTTACTCCAGTCGGCCTCCTCCTTCTCTCTCATAGCCAAAATTTCTGGTGTGTTTGCCTTGAAACGTACACCAGTACATGGCCATTCATGATCATCAACATAGTTGCCTTCATTACCCAATCCATGTCCTACGATATCTCGTTCACCTGAATGTTTTAAAACATGTGTTATATTGGTTTATCATAGTTCACAACAGCATCAAATCCTACTATATGAAGGAAAGTGTGTAATGAGATTTTCCAATGAAAATTCTACACATTACACAAACATTATCCTTTTTTTACTACACTGGATAATGGGAGATCATTCAACAAGATAAATTAATAGAATTTACATTAACATAGTAAATAAAATTTTACTATTAAACTACAATATTACAAAATGAGGTGATTCATAAATTAACAAGAACATGTACATTTATATATACAAGACATGAATATCTTGGGTTCAGCAAATATATCAACTCTGCTAAATTTGATTGTTGCCTGCTAATCTCAGGTTATTGATTGTTATATAATGATTTTTTACCTACCAACAACAGGATAATGGCGATCCTTCATTTCTACACTCATCTGCTCCATAGGATAGATTTTCACTTCAGTTGGTTTGACCACAGCTGAACAAGATCGAACTTGATGCCATCGTATATTATTTACCAGTCGCCTCAAGATTATCTGCCCACTCATTTTGGCTAAAAAAAACGGAGCATATTCATGGGAATTGATAATTGCAGAACAATATCAAATACCTACACACTACAAACTAAAGTAAGTCTTGTAGGTCTTAACAGTCACCCAATCAATGTAAATGTGAAGTGGCACACTTAATTTGATGAAAATTTGAAAATTCTGTCGTTAGTTAACTCGATAAATTTGCTGAGAGTTCAAAGAAAGGCAGCTTCCTGTCACTTTTATTGTACATCCTTTGATCTACAAGTCTAATGCTCATCCAAAACAAACAGCATAACTCACATATAGAACATGTTAGTACTAATTTATAACTAAATATGCACATGCTACAAAAAGGTGTCATTTCGCTAGAACCGATAGAGTTACAAAACCTGTTATTAATTTTATGACAGACGATGGTAGTACAGGTAATACCTGTGCTATAAACTTCAGCATTGAAGGAAGATTAAGGCTGATGCATACACTGAGATGCTTACATTTCATATCAGCCTCTCTATTCTTCGAATAGGCGAGCGAAAAAAAATAATGTTGACGTTCGATACGTGACTTTTTGCATTCAGTTAACTGAAAGCAAGGTCATATGTGCTATGTATAAATCACCAGAACTTATTCGACATATGAGTATATAACACCATTCCATATCGCAAATATATCTATCAGCGTTCAAATAATGCATATTTCCCATACAAATTATCAGTTTAGGTGTAAAATGATCCAAACCTTTTCACCACGATCTGTACTCGGGGGCAAAAATGGAGGAGAGACCGACAAAATCTCGCGAGCGTTCAAAGTCAAAGAAACGCTTCGAGTGCCCATTTGGTTTACATAAATGACGCAAAGTATTATCACCGTGGAGCTTCAAGCTGGTGAAGCCGATTGAACAGCCTATCATCAACACTGAAATAATGTACTTGCACAATGTTATAAATTCTAGGCCTGTTACATGTAATAAGGTAAAGGTAGAGTAAAGGATACTTATTTGCCATACAAATAATTACCAGTCGGCCAAAAATACTTGGTCGGTGTCGATAATTGATTATTTTTCTCTACAAACAAACGTCAAGAACTATATGTTGATTTGATATATATGGCAGAAGTTTTATTTATTTGTTTTAATGGGTTTCACGTCCACTAAGATATTTGGGTCCCTTTTAAGATACTTCTAGACCTGATGTCAGAAATGACATGTTACTTTAGTCTGATAACGAGCGATTTAACTGCATAAAATCAACGCGGCATTTATGGAAGCCCCTCTAAGCGTCCTCGTGATGGTGATTTGTCGTGACGTTTTAGAAGTGGCTGTCCAACACGACATCTAAGTAAAGTAACTTCTATAAGCCACGAAATTTTCTGCCATCTTTTCCCCGAATACAAGATGAGACAACGAGACTTTGTATTTATATTGACAATTAACTGTTTACGTGTTTCTGGCAGGCGATGACACCGCGTGTAACTTGTTTTTAAACTGCTTCAGCACCAGTCACCATATTGGATTGACATACCCTGCCTACAGCAGCTAACTGCACAGCAAATCGATGTGACAGACTAATTGGAGATTTTGCTGATGTTGAAACGCCAATGTAGCAATATATGGTTACATGGTGTATTTGCTAATTGATATGCTGTAAAGTTAAATCGCCACGAGTGAACCCAGGCAGTTTCGAAAATATTGGCAAGAGTCGAGTTACCCTCTTTACTTTCTTTTTCGGGGTAATGCTTGGGCTTCTGCGGAAACGACTTCCAAGGATGACGGGTCATTTCCGTAGTAATGTGTGGGATCCAGTGCTGATAATTTCACAGATCGTTTCTATGCAGTGTCAATTCTATTTAATCCTAGGAATCTGGAATTACTTTATGAACACGTTTGGCAATTTTGATTCCTCATTAGATAAAGTGTTCACTGAAACAGTAAGTAAGGATGCAGGTGCAACAGGTAAAATGAGAAACTGTATTTGGTGACTTGAAATACAGATTTAGATTGATCTGGTTAATATCAAAATATTTAATCTGCTAAATGTGTTTAATGATAAATGTCAGTTCTGATGCAGTATAGTAAAGTATAGTATCAGGGCTCTCGATCTGTCAGATTTGGGGCCGAATTCCCAATGCAAAATAGTATCTTTTTTCCCAATTTAGACCCGAAGTTTTCCCAATTCTAAGGAAAACACCATTATTTTTCCAAATTCTAAGGGCCCCGGGGTGTGAGAGCCCTGAGTATAGTAATGTTTCTGGTACAGGAACACACAGCATTCCTCTTCACCATACTCAAAATTATTTTGTTGTGGTTAAAGTTCATTTTCTGGTCAGTTTACAGTAGCTCTGTAAGTATATATAATATCTAGATTTTTCCAAAACTTAATTCAGTTTGTTTTTAGAAGTATTTATATTTGGAGCAGATGCTATGTCTTCTGTAAGATTGTGTTTTCACAGTTCTTATAGCAGAACTATTTCCTCTTCTATTGGTCCTGTAATGTTGAAGAAAGAGCGTTTTGGAGTGTCCTCGACCACTTCTTTATTCCTATGTCCATCTTAAGCTTTACAAAATTGCAGGAATCCTTATCATATATACCGTCTGAGATTTTATAAAGTTCTATCATATCCCCTTTAAGCCTTCTGTATGATAAAGTTGGAAAATTTAGCTTCAGCAGTGATGTCAGAGTTGAGGGTTCTGTTTGTCTATCCATGATTTTATTTTTGTCAGGAGGGCACATTCTTTAACTTATTAAGGGATGTAAAAAGCCCCAGTTAGATGTCTTTGGATGTTTTTGTTTACCTATCTTTCATGTCTGCTTTTTCTTTCTTTGCTCTGTTTTCTCTTATGCGCCCTTGGATGCCTGTTCTCATATGAATATGACGACTGAAAAGAATCCCAATTTTCTTCTAGTTCCTACCTCAGTGGAAATTTGATGTAGTGAATAGATGGTATGTTCACATCAGAAACATCTGCCAGTTAAAATGTCTGGCGATATCGTGAAGGAACAAGTTAGTAAACGAAAGGCCCTCAAAACAAATGCCATGAGGTTACATAGGATTGACCAAGGAGAGTCAGTGTTGCCTCGGGTAGATCTAAGAAACAATTGGGATCAGTAAAATAAAGGATTGTTGTCTTTGTTTAAGGAGAGGATTTGTGGCTCAATGTTACAAATACTTCCCCTTCAATACCATACTACAAAAAAGGAATAAAGAGCATGCAGGAGGTGTAGACGATAAATTAACTTGGAGTAGTATATGAAATGATATATGAACTTCTTCATTATGAAGGGAAATTCCTTAAATCTTATTTCTTTCTGATATTGGTAAAATTGCTAACAGGACCCAAATTTTTAATGAAGTTTGTATCTCTTACATATAACATGAGTTTTTACAGGGGTTTCTGGTGTAGTGCTAATGGCACAAGAACATTGCTTTACTAGCTAGACAAATATACCTGGTAAATGGGTTGTAGCAAACACTTTGCTTCACTTTGCAAGCTAGAAAAATATAGGTAAGGTTTTAACAGGTGGTCCTAGTTTAATACTTATTTATAACAATGAGGTTATTGAAACCTTGATTGGTATAGATGGATCAACATTGGATCTAAAACCAGTAGGAAAAAATTAGTTTGATAGAAAATATATATCTCTGTGTAGGTATGCATTCAAATTATGACATGGTATCTTGTACATTCACATCATATAATGTCATAACAGCAGAATGTACCCTGAACTATGCACACTGACTCTAGTACTGGACACCAGTAGAATTGATAAGAATATCAAAACACTGTAATTATTATAAAAGAAAATGTTGTGCGACACAAATATGATTTTATTTTTATTTATGAAAACTATTTTTTTATCCTTGCAGGATCTTGATGTGTTAGAAACTTCAGGGCGGCTAAATGTAATTGCATTCCTTCTCAACAGTTTAACAAGGTATTGGTGCTTATAGTATTCCATTTTTAAAAATTGAGTAATATAAGGAAGCTCCTCTTCACTTTACATTATTCACAATGCACATCATAGTGATATATGATCATTCTGTTATTGCAGGTACATGCTCTACATGCTGTATTGTGAGTCAAGGTCAATGTGAAATACCTTATTTTTTTTTATTTTGCTTGTTGATATCTCCAGTAACAATGATAGATGTGTTATGTATGTGTTACTATGTACAGTATAAACATACAACCAAAAACTGCAGGGTATCATCTTCAATATACATATATAATTTATCTTCTTGTCTTTCTTGAAAATTGGCATTCGATTGGATCAAGATGAAGTTTGCAAAAGATCTATAAGTACCAAGATTAAAGTCATTGTTACCATGGCATATATACAATTGATTTGATAGTGTATTAAAGAGGTCAAAGGTTAACTGGTGTCATTGATAACTAAATGGCCTGGAAATTCATGATAGTCAAGCAATCAAAATGATTGTATTTCATCATAAATTTGATCACATGACTAGTGTGTATAATGAACTGTTGGCAGTATAAAAAAATATCATTCTCCTCTAACAGGTTTCTTTTTTTTTTGTTTTCAGTGCGCTCGCCCTGTGGTTCATTGTACAGAGAACCAAACTGTGTTTAGACTTTTCAGTGACTGCCCATCTGTTTCACTTCCTGGCATGTGTAATATACAATGGAAATGTTCCTAGCACTCTACCGTGGTGGATTATCAATGTCATCAGTATTGCACTCATGACTGTCACTGGAGAATTCTTGTGTATGCGGACAGAAATGAAAGCCATTCCACTCAGTATGGGGCCGAAGGCAGATTTGTGATCAAACATGTTTTATATCATTGCATCCAAATTAATTTATTCATTTCATCCATTGTTTATAATATAGCCTGTAAAATATTGAATAAATATTCTTAAATAAATTGTACATGTATATATTGATTTATATTTTGTGTGTGTTTTGTATCAGTATCATGACTTCTATTATGTAAATATTTTTACTTTGACAAAGGGGTGGAGAAGAGAGCTATACTGAATTGATTTTGACAACACATTTTTCCATTCTATTTCATGTAGATTAAAGATTGGTATGTGGATATGTCTTATGAAGACATTCAACACTTGTAGATGTTACCTGTATTCTGACATTCATAGTCTCGAACAATCTCCAGAGAAAGCTACTGTTTCAATTAAGATCTCCAAAATTTATTTTGGGAGTATTATAGATACCTGTATCTTTGAAAGACATTGTGCCACTTTTGACCTCTGTTTTTTGTCTAAATAAAACACTACGGGCTGTACTATTTAGTGTAATATCGAAGTGATATTATGTCTTGTACTAAAAGTATGTCTCTTGACATATATACTGAAACGAATAAGGAATGCAAATTCAAATTGTAGGTTTAATAAAATAAGAGTTGTGAGCATTATGTCTAAATTTCATATGTAATAGTTAATATTGAATATTGATGTAACATCCTCTAAATGTTTGGAGATTTTTAAGAAAAGGTCACTTCGCTAGAAGGTCATGATAGGCAGTACCCTACGTGAATCCAAGTTGAAATGGCAGCAGTTTTGAAACCGTGCCCTAATATCGTGTGTGTCCTCCTCGAACAGCTATAGCAACTCAAATTCTTTGTTGCATCGAGTTCATCAGGGCATTGGCTGTCTGTATTGGAATGTTATTCCATTCTTGGACGAGTGCATTTGCTAATTGGGGGAGGGTATTTGGGGGGTTACAGCGATTGCGAATTCTTCTGTCTAGTTCATCCCACAAATGCTCGATTGGGGACAAATCGGGGCTATATGGAGGCCAATCTATAGGAAAATGTTCTGTGTCGCAAGAAAGTCTCTACAGACTCTTGCAACGTGTGGTCTCGCGTTATCTTGCTGCAAGGTTAGATGATGCTGCCTAACAAACGGCACAACATGGGGCCTAAGGATCTCATCCCGATAGCTTACGGCCGTTAAATTCCCATTGACTATCACCAAAGGTGTCTTCAAACCATGGGAGATTCCCGCCCAAACCATAACTGATCCACCCCCAAATTGGTCATGCTCCAAAACACAGGCATCAGCAAAACGTTTGCCTCGACGCCGGTACACACGTTGACAGCCATCTGCTCGAAATAACATGAATCGAGATTCATCGGTGAAGAGCATGGACCTCCAACGTCTCATAGGAAAACGTCTGGGCATATGTGCCGTCAACCATTGCATACGACGTGCTCGACGTTGCGGTGTTAGTGGTAAACCAACATACTGTCGCCTTGCTCGCAAATTAGCGTCATGCAGTCTGTTGATCACTGTTTGGGGATGAATCCGATGGTTATGATTACCAATCGTATTCCTTGCCGTTTCAACAGCCGTTAACCTCCTGTTACGCAAGTGTGCCAGCCTAACAACCCGGTCTTGACGTCACGACGTTACGCGTGGACGTCCTGATCTCGGCCGGTCATCGACTCTTCCTGTGGTGTTAAGATGTGAAACTAATTGACTAATAGTCGATTTGTGAACTCTGAAGTGTCGAGCGACGTGAATTTGCGTGCTTCCTGCCATAAGCATCGCGATAGCACGTCCTCTATCAACTTGTGATAACCATGGCATAATTGTAAATGGAATTATTGTTTGCAAAAGTATTGGCGATGATGTGTCTCGATGTTAGTGATAAATTGATACTGGTTTGAATGAAAAAGAACGCATGTTTGTACAGGCACGGTTTTTACCGCGCCGGATGTGCATAGGTTTCTCGTCACACCTGGTTGATTTTGAACATTGGTTAGGGTGATAGGCAGGGTGCACTTTTATTTCCGCGATTTTTATACAGCTATGTATATTTAATACAAAATTAATAACAATTTTCCAAGTTGCGTTTTTTTTTCGTTTCAGTATATTTTGACCTCTTGCCTTCGTACAGCAATATCAGTAGTAGTATCTCTGTTGTAGTGTTTCGCGTATTTTGAGATCTTAGAAAAATTTGGATAAGGTTTAAGGAAGTTACCTGGGTAAATCAGGTGTAGTGTTTCATGTAGAATCTTAAATATCTATGTGTATGTGTGGGGAAGAGGGTACTTGTTGATTGCACACCAGAGGTAGATCACTGCAACCTACATTCAACATTTGACCTGCATAACCTTCTATAATAACCTTTGAATCTTTTCCAGTAGGAGTATATTTTGCCAAGAAAATGATAATATATAACTCAAGGTACCACCTGAATAATTTATTGGTTGACATATACTTGTATTTAACTGCATATCTACTTGAATAAACGAGAAAAAATGCACTGTAAAGACATATACCAAACACTGTCAAGCAGCACTTACATAGGGCTGACACAAGCACACCATCTTCTACAGGTGTATAATGGCAAAACTTCCTCACAGGCATTAACCTTGTTTCAATACATGAACATATTAAGCAGTTAATATTTTTTACATCAAAATGACTTAATTTTACTTGAAATGTAAAAAGAAATCTACTGGAGGAAAACTTTTCCAGTTATGCTACTGTAACTCTTGAGAATAAGTTGTCATACTGTCATTAGTTTTGGAATAATCTTGAAAACTAGCTCAGTGTCTACGCTTCCTTATTCATATGTAACTTCAAGTTGTAGACTGAGTGACAGGTGATTCATTCTACAATTCAAATGGTCAATGTACTCATTAAGTAATAATTTAGCACTTCTTTATGAATTTTAACACAGGATATTTTCAATACACTGTATTAATTTTGAAATCATTTAGCACTTCTAAATGAATTCTAATGGGCGAACTTAATATTTTCAATAGCCTTTCCTCAACAATGAATAGATTAGTTTTTAGGTCAGTCTATTCATTTCCAAACTTTTATTTTAAAAAAGTGCAACAAATAAGTCCCATATATATATATAAATACTATGTATATCTGTTTTTAGGCAATTGAGCGTACTTGTTCGGCATGAGTGAGAAATTGAATGAGGCATCATAATTCAAAGAAAGTTTATCTAAAATGTGAAAAGTTAAAAGGGTTTGTTTTTTGATATTGATTAAAAATCTTAAACACTGACATGGAAATATTCATGATCAGCGGTAAGTCACAATATTATTAGAACAAGAAACAGTACATAGGACAAAGTTACAACTTCAATGACAGGGAAACCCAACTGACCTTATGACCTATTGCACTGGTCATTACTTCTCACTCCTGCCTAGACTATAGTGAAGTCCTAAGTGAATTGTATCTTCTACAGGTATAGGCCATTCTAACTTGACATAAAACGTTACAAAACAGAATTTTTTAAAATGCTCTTAGTCGTTCTAGACACCAGTTCAGCGTTTGATATCTGATTAGTATCCTCCATTCTCCAATGAAATGATGCAGGCTGTGTGAAAACCAGTAGAGTTCCTATTAAATTATGAAAACTCCAAGAAAGAAAATGGAGCTAAGTAAATATGAAATTGCAGAGACATTATCACTACATACACGATGGTTTTGAATAACATCTTTGTTAATAATGGTCACTTTCCTTAACTTCAGCTGAAACACAGGTGGTTGTTGTGGTCCTCCATCTCACAATGATTCCTTGAGCATTTACATGATCATAGAAACTGTTGAAGCATGACCACCTGCCAACCTAATGGCCAATTAAGGAGTCTGTTCATATTGTCAGTGCATCGTATGATGGACCATCAGGCTCTGGGTTGTTTTTTCTCAGTTGTAAATGTTCTGTTGTGTTTTGGAAATGTTTGTGTATTTGTTCTGTTTCTTCATTGGCTTCTAAGTTTGGTATTAATTCTTTGATTTTGGTAATTAACTGGATCAACACTTGAACGGTTATCTGAAAAATAGAAATAAATTATGCTTCAAATACTGTAGATAAACATTTCCATCATGTTTAATCACCAGTCAATAAAATTGATAGAGTATACATATATATACACTGGAGAAGGGTTTTATATATATGTAAAATATAGTTAATGACAATACGCAAGTGATAGTATAAAGAAAATTGTTTCAAAAAAAACACAAGAAAAAGTAAAGTTAGCATTTTGCATAACGTTTTCACAGCTTATCAGGTATATACATTGTATCTCTCTTTATCAGGTATACACAATGTATCTCTCTTTATCAGGTATATACATTGTACCTCTCTTTATCAGGTATATATATTGTATCTCTCTTTATCAGATGTATACATTGTATCTCTCTTTATCAGGTATACACAATGTATCTCTCTTTATCAGGTATATATATTGTATCTCTCTTTATCAGATGTATACATTGTATCTCTCTTTATCAGGTATACACAATGTATCTCTCTTTATCAGGTGTATACATTGTATCTCTCTATCAGGTACATACATTATATCTCTCTATCAGGTATATACATTGTATCTCTCTTTATCAGGTATATACATTGTATCTCTCTTTATCAGGTATACACAATGTATCTCTCTTTATCAGGTATATACATTGTACCTCTCTTTATCAGGTATATATATTGTATCTCTCTTTATCAGATGTATACATTGTATCTCTCTTTATCAGGTATACACAATGTATCTCTCTTTATCAGGTATATATATTGTATCTCTCTTTATCAGATGTATACATTGTATCTCTCTTTATCAGGTATACACAATGTATCTCTCTTTATCAGGTGTATACATTGTATCTCTCTATCAGGTACATACATTATATCTCTCTATCAGGTATATACATTGTATCTCTCTTTATCAGGTATATACATTGTATCTCTCTTTATCAGGTATACACAATGTATCTCTCTTTATCAGGTGTATACATTGTATCTCTCTCTATCAGGTATATACATTGTATCTCTCTTTATCAGGTGTATACATTGTATCTCTCTTTATCAGGTGTATACATTGTATCTCTCTTTATCAGGTGTATACATTGTATCTCTCTTTATCAGGTATATACATTGTATCTCTCTTTATCAGGTATATACATTGTATCTCTCTTTATCAGGTGTATACATTGTATCTCTCTTTATCAGTTGTATACATTGTATCTCTCTTTATCAGGTATATACATTGTATCTCTCTTTATCAGGTGTATACATTGTATCTCTCTTTATCAGGTGTATACATTGTATCTCTCTTTATCAGGTGTATACATTGTATCTCTCTTTATCAGGTGGCTACATTGCATCTCTCTTAAGCAGGTGTATACAGTGTACTTAACTTGCCACGTATAAAACTACTTCTTTGAAATTGCTGAGTGTCAGTGTTACAGTGTGACAAACAGATGAAGTATATAAATGCCACTGGAAAATTTACTGCCATTTGAGAATATTTCAACTCACTGTCAAATATCTTACTATGCCATTTGGTACTCAATACACCTGTAATAGTCCACGTGTTTAATTTCAATTGTATAAAACTAACAATCTCAACTTTTTTTGGTGGGTGGTTTAGAAAGCCTTGATAAATGTTGGTTTAACTATCTTTATCTTTTACCTGATATAGTGTGATCTTATTCCATAAAACCGTAAGTAACATGATAGTCCGTAACAATTTATATACAAACTGTAGAGACTTACAAAGAGCAATACGCCATTAGTACAATTTTTCTTGTATGTAGTGGTTTAGGGACTAACCTGGTCACAACCTTTCTCGTAATAGTATATATAGTGGTTTAGGGACTTACCTGGTCACAACCTTTCTCGTAATAGTATATATAGTGGTTTAGGGACTTACCTGGTACAATCTTTCTCGAAATAGTATATATAGTGGTTTAGGGACTTACCTGGTCACAACCTTTCTCGTAATAGTATATATAGTGGTTTAGGGACTTACCTGGTACAATCTTTCTCGAAATAGTATATATAGTGGTTTAGGGACTTACCTGGTCACAACCTTTCTCGTAATAGTATATATAGTGGTTTAGGGACTTACCTGGTACAATCTTTCTCGAAATAGTATATATAGTGGTTTAGAGAATTACCTGGTCACAACCTTTCTCAAAATAGTATGTATAGTGGTTTAGAGAATTACCTGGTCACAACCTTTCTCGAAATAGTATATATATAGTGGTTTAGAGACTTACCTGGTCACAACCTTTCTCAAAATAGTATGTATAGTGGTTTAGAGAATTACCTGGTCACAACCTTTCTCGAAATAGTATATATATAGTGGTTTAGAGACTTACCTGGTCACAACCTTTTTGTAATAGTATATATAGTGGTTTCGGGACTTACCTGGTCACAACCTTTTTGTAATAGTATATATAGTGGTTTCGGGACTTACCTGGTCACAACCTTTCTTGTAATAGTATATATAGTGGTTTCGGAACTTACCTGGTCACAACCTTTTTGTAATAGTATATATAGTGGTTTCGGGACTTACCTGGTCACAACCTTTCTCGTAATAGTATATATAGTGGTTTAGCAGTTCCACGTAAAGCTGAACCTGCACAGAGTCATCCATACATTGGTTTGCTATCTTCACTCCTTTCTTTAGACAATCTGCAACTCTTTTTCCATCTTGCATCTGGAAAAAATAATCACTTATTTTAAACTACATTACAAAATATTTCGTTTCTTAATATATTCACATGTCAATATTTATTTCTCAGCTCAAGTTCAGAAAAAAATGTTTTCAATGTAGAAAAAAATTGTCTTTATCCTCACGCTGTATAATTAGATCTGATAAAGCATACTTTGAACACCAATGAATCAGCTATACACAGACCACAGTATTGCATGATATCTCAGTAACAAAGAAATTCTCACTGGTCCATCAGATGTTGAGGTTTTGCCTGACCAGAACAGATGTGAACATGTTGATACTCCACGACACTGGTCAGGTTTCTTAAGAAGCTTGGATGCAGCCAAAGCACACTGAGTGCGCAGGGGCTCATGGTTCTCTTCCCCAAAGCAAGACATCTGTTCCAGTGTGCCGATGATAAGGGTGATTGCTGCTAACTGTGCCTTACTATCACTGATCTCATCCTCATACAGAGAGAATGCCTGAAGAAATCACAGAACACAATGTACTGGCTTAAAGTATAAATTGGAAAACACAATCAATTCTACAATAACCAAGGAACATTGTATGTTCCTATTACACATGGATGTCGTTAATCAGAGAGCAGTAGTCAGATTGCTTATCCAGAGCAAGATGACAGTATTTACTTAATTCATTAAAAGTGAATCAAGTTTATACAAAGATGTACTTTCTCTTTTTCAGGATAAGCAATCCATATACATGTGGATCAGAGATCAATCTCCTCATTTGATGCCATTAACTTTCATTATCAGGATTTAAAATTTTAAAGTAAATAAAATTATTAGACATAATTGGCAATGTTTGAGAAAACCACTTCAACCAGGTGAATGTTCATCTAACCTTTGACTTTTTTATCGATGTTAATAGAATCAGAAAGCAGGGCTCTCGATCTGCAAGATTTGGGGCCAAATTCCCAATGCAAACTAGTATCTTTTTTTTCCAATTTAGACCCCAAATTCCCCAATTCTAAGGAAATCAACGTTATTTTCCCCAATTGTAAGGGCCCTGGGCCCCATTCCCAAATTGGGTGTGAGAGCCCTGGATAGCAATATTGATGGTATATTTCTGAAAAAATCCAGAGAATTATGAAACTAAAAAAAAACAGCGATGAAAATTCTCCATTCAACTCATCAACTGTCATGTTTGATTTTGAATAAATTCTGTACCAGTACAAAACTTAAACATAATGACAAGGTGACAAAGTGGTGATGCCAAGAAGATATTCTGAAGCATGTAAACATGGAAAGTATTAAAATTTCATTTTGTGTGCTGATATCAATTTTTTCTATTTTTCCCCCTTTTACTGCACACTGGTTAATCCATCCAAAAGGGCACTGGTTTATACCTAAATGAGAATTCTTGTATTTCTATCTGTTATATATACTATATGTCTCATATATTTATAACATCTTAATCTAAATGCATATATAATGAATAAACACATTTTAGCACTTTTCTTATCTAACACTTTTTACACTTAAAGAACTGAACTGTGATTGTGCTAATTGCATTTTGTTGTTTATCAACAATTACACTTACTATAATACGCTAGAATCTGTTTCCATTCAATCATAGACCTTTAAATAATACTTCACATTTTAATGAAAGCTGAATCACTTTGTTCCTTGCTTAAACTTAAGTCACAGAGATAAAGACATGAAAATACAACAAAATCCCTATCCATGCACAAAAGTATTAATTCACAATACATACTTGAGACATGAACTCATAAGCCACAGTTTCATGGTTTTCGAACTCGATCTGTCCTGCAGCCATGGCTCCCTGTAGAAATAGCCTCAGTGGGATTTCAGCCATCTCTGCTTTTATCAGAGCTCCTATTGTCTGGTGACAAAACTGGAAAATCTTCTGACATTTCCTCTCCCAGTTCTCATCCTGGAATAATGACACAATACAATCTATTAAAACAGATTAAACCGATTTTAGGGTTAGAATGTAAATGCTGAAGCCAACCCTATACCAGTGTAGATAACAAGTCTACATGTAATTGATTTCTGTACCTCAGTATAAATATTTTTGTTTTATCAATGAGACAACCAATGAAGCCTTAGTAGTAAGACTACTCTAGATAAAGAGGGACAACTGGATAAACTGTAAACTGATAGAGTGACAACTGGATTAATGGTGAACTTATGTGAGACAACTGGATTAATGGTGAACTGATAGTGGGACAACTGGATTAATGGTGGATTGATAGTGGGACAACTGGATTAATGGTGGACTGATAGTGAGACAACTGGATTAATGGTGGACTGATAGTGGGACAACTGGATTAATGGTGGACTGATAGTGGGACAACTGGATTAATGGTGGATTGATAGTGAGACAACTGGATTAATGGTGGACTGATAGTGGGACAACTGGATTAATGGAAGACTGATAGTGGGACAACTGGATTAATGGTGGACTGATAGTGAGACAACTGGATTAATGATGGACTGATAGTGGGACAACTGGAATGATACTGGGTAGATAGTGAGACAACTAGATCAACCATGTTAATGGTAGACTAATAGTGGGATATAACTCATACAGAGTGATGCAGACAATGTATAAAGCATCCCATCATCATGGAGGGCCAATTTCTTAACATTAAGGTTAATCACACGCGAACAGTTGTCTTGTGTAGACATACAGGTAAATTTCACCACTCACCTCTTCCTGGTGATCACGATATCTCATGGCAAGTCTGTATGCAGCAAAGACAATCGGTGGTAGGGTGAACTTTATCCTTTGATCACCCCCACTGCCAAAGTGTTTTCGTGCTGTGTTCAGAATCTGAAGGGAAAAATAAAATTGTTATAAATATCTTTAAGCATGAACCCAATTCACTTTTGAATCAATTATGTCACCTATTTTATGGTCTTTATATTACACATTCTATAATTACAATGTAGGAATGTTGTTTCTTGTGTGTTGTGCACATATCACATACTTTGCATATCTATGCTGTGTGATATATTATAATACCTCATCTTTGTAAAAGTGTTAATGATTTTTCTGTCAGGGGAACAAAATATTGTATTTCCCAAGCAAAATAAAACATTACATTTCCCTGAAGCATTTGCCTCCATGTTGAGTTTATGTCATATACTGCTGGAGAACTGTTTGTTGACAATGTCAGACAAGGGAAACAACATAACAATGTAAAGACATCATATTTGATGTAATTTGGAAAACGGGAATGCCCAAAATTTACAAAAAAAACCCAAAAAAAAACAAAAAACAAAACAAAAAAACAGTAACAAAGTGTTTCGACAATGTTTAAATCTCCAAAAACAGGACATCTCTTTTCTGAATACAAAAATGTTGATGATGGTGTTAATGTTATATTTTTGTTTTTTTGGTTTGATTTTTGGTAAAAAAAAAATTACTACCCTAGTTGCTGGGATTTCTTTAAGTTTATTTATCTCCAATGACATACTTCCTCAGGACATGCTCTCAGGAAATAGGAGACCTTTGTGTAAATAAATCTTCACATTTCTGGGAACCAAGGCCATCAATGTGTAGTATCTACAAACGATGTTTTACATTGTGTTTCTTAGTTTTAATTTCCTTGTTTGCTGGATCAATCACCATGTGAAGATCCAGGGTCATTTTGAGGAAGTTTCCTTGAAGAGTAGCTGGTAGCTAACTTAATGAACATCATGCAAGAGACCCATTGTGTCTATGATATCAGTTTCCTGGAAAATACAATGTGACCTAGATAGGATTGGACCATGCACCTCAGCTTGCACTAATTTGATGTTCTATAGACTGAGTGATTGCTGTGATGTGTCTAGATAGTGTTAGATTGTCTACAAATTGTCTTACAAGATATTGTTGGTTCAGGTCCTCTGCTTGTAACAGATATATAAATCTTCCCATAATGCCCTGTTCCTCTGCAAAATCCTCAGGATCTTCTGGCTCCTCAGGCTGGTCATTTTGGTCTTGTACTAAAACATTTACAATGTTCAGGATACTGTCCACCTACAAAAGTGTGGGACACAAATGTTTTAGTCAGTAGAATAAAAAGTCTGAGAATGGCTTGCCATCAAATACCAGTACATACTACAAGGAATACAGGTCTAGCCAATCACAAAAGAGTTAACACTCAATGTAGGGAACATAGTCAATTAAATTAATTATACCAGTATATACTGCAAGGAAGATGTAGGGGATATTGAAGTAGCCAATCAAGTAACAGTTCACACCCTAGGGTTGCAAAATCACAACATTTCAACATCCATAGAAGTAAATCCCCAAAAAGGCAGTATACAATATTCTGTCTTGACACATTCTAAACAAAAGTTCTGTTCTTTGGAAAATATAGTGGATGTCAAACTCACATGTTCTTGTGTGGGTATAAATGTGTCATTCTCCAGTACATTATTGATGATGTAGCAGCTCATTATTTTCCTACTTTTAAAGTCAAAGTATTCAAACAGGGGTCCAAAGTGTCCTAGCTGAAGCACGATCAGCACATTGTTGTAGCTGTCCACCGGGATCTTCATCAGTCTCATCAATTCTTTAGAGACCGGACTGCCATGCTCCAAACTGTGAACAGAGATTTGTGTTAGTGAAGCAAACCATCACAGCATAAATATATCATAATCATATGACAAGAATCCTGGTAATTAGGCCTAATCAGATCTGTTATCTCATTGATATCTATGTTATATTCTATTTCTTTGTGCAATATGTAACTGGCAGTGTATGGTGCTCCTAAAGTAAACCTGTTGGTTCCTTTGAGAACCAAACATTATTTACTTGTATTGACCAAGACTTACATGGTGGATAAAGTTGATGAAACAGAAGATGCTTACTCTTCAGGAATGCCTTGTCTTATTCTCCTTGTATTCTTTTGTAAATCTGTCTTTTAGTGTGCATATTTTGCCCTCGTATTATTTAATTTAAGTTTGGATTATGATTTATTTCATTGTTTCTTATCTGTTGCTATTCAATGAATTTACAAAACTAGAGTATCAGTGAAAATGATGAATGCTCCCCAAAAACAACTTTATTGCCTAACTGGACACAAAATTTTAACTAAGTACAATAATTCTGTAATAAAGACCCAGAATTTGGTACACTGCACATCATCTTAGTATGATCAATGCATATATCATGTTTCATTATCCCTGTTTTAATGAAGGCAAAGTTATCCTCAGGACAGGAAATTTAACAAAGGGCAGTAACTCTGTAAATAAGAATTGAAGACCTGAATTCGGCTCACTACATATCGTCTTAGTATGCCATATGTATACATTAAGTTTCATGATCCATGTTTAACTGTGGACAAAGTAATACTCAGGAAAGGAAATTTTAACAAAGGGCAGTAACTCTAATTATGGGTTTGAAAGCCCTGGATTTGGCACACTGCACCTCCTCTTAGTATATCCAACACATGGGATGACCGTACACGCATTCACTAACAACACAAGGGATGACTGCACACTCTTTCATTAACAACAGAGTGGTGGCACACTGCACCTCCTCTTAGTATATCCAACACATGGGATAACCGTACACGCATTCACTAACAACACAAGGGATGACTGCACACTCTTTCATTAATAACAGAGTGGGTGGCCCTTCACTCATTCATCAACAACACAAAGAATGGCTGGACACTCAGTCATTAACAACACAAGGGAAGGTCTCCTTCTCACACACTATGATACCTACTGGTCAAGGTTGAGTCGATTGAAGATTTCCTCTGTTGTTTCCAGCACTTTGTCTACATAATCTGTCTTTTCTGGGTAACACTTAAGTGCCAAATTAATCAGCGCCACCTGGAGGGATACAATGTCCTCAGGTGGCATGTCAGGTCGATTCTGCGTAATAAAGACAGGAAATATTACTCACATCAAGCAGGTTCTGTATCACTGTCACATCAGTTATCCTGTTTGTAGCTTTTAATGTACACACTCAATACATCAGTTTTACAGAAATATATCTACAAAAAGCAATTATTTGATCTTACTGATAGATTTTGGGCAAAGTTCTACAAGCATATAACAAAAATGAGTGTAATATGAGTGACAATTGACTATATATGCTGATTAATGACAGAACAATGTATAGACATGATTCTTATGTTTGTCAAGACACAATGTTGTATGCATGTATGACTTGTCTGATACTTTGTTGTTTACCTGTATGACTTGTCAAACAATGTTTAACTGTATGACTTGTCCAGCTATATTTACCTGTATGACTTGTCGAGCTATATTTATCTGTATGACTCGTCCAGTTATATTTGCCTGTATGACTTTTCCAGCTATATTTACCTGTATGACTTGTCCAGCTATATTTACCTGTATGACCTGTGAGACCTGTTGTGAAAAGATGTCAAACAGCTGAATGTCCTGTGGGATGCCTTGTCCCTCCTCATTCTGGGAAAACTGTGCCAGCCTTTTAACAAAAAGCACTTTTAATAATTATTATGTAAACAAAACGTACTGATAATGTTTTTATTTCTTAGAAATTCCCTCATTTAAATGTATGCTTTTTCCAAATCGCAACAGCTGACAATTTATACTAATGTTCAGAATGATAATGCTAGCAAAAATGTTTATGTCCGGTCCTGATGTAAACACTTTTGACTAGAAGAGTCAATAATGTGAATCTGCTGATCAATCTTAAATCTGACTTGGTTAATTATGGTACTTCACCTGTCAATAAGTGCAATGATAATGTTTTTTACATTAACACTTTCATGGAGTTCTGCACATGCTCTGAGGAATGAACTTAATGTCTGTAGATGAAAGTCATCAGGAAACACCTGAAAAGAACATAAAAACCATTAAAAAATGTATCATCTGAAAGTATGATTTGGACAAGAGATTCTAGAGGGACTCCTGGCATCCCCTCTTGTATGATCTTTATAGGTTTTAACTAAGTTGTATATTTTTCCTTCATTACTTTAAATTATTTGTTGTACTACCAAGTAGCTTGTCATACAATAACACCTTAATTATCTATCACGGAAGAGAAACTGAGAGTTTGGAAAATGATCCCTGAATTGCTTTCGGAGAAATATTGATAAACACTTTGTCGTCCATTTTGTTTTTAGCACCAGATAAAACATACATATGAATTTTAAATCTGATGACAGTTGGAAAAAATTAAAAAAAAAAACTTGAAGAATGTTCTGACAGATGTTGAACTGTAAGGGGATAGAAACCCATTAGGTACTGGAAATACATTTCAATAAGTAACGAGCTTACCTGTATAATACACTCCATCAGATATTCCTGAGCAATGGGATCTCTACAGCTCACTGCCTGTTCCAGAATTCCCGGTAATACCAACTGAAAAACAGAAACGGGAATATCTATCAAATTAATCCTTAAACGATGTTTAGAAGAATACACATGTTTGAAGCGACCTCATGGTAACATGATATTTTTTTTCTGATTTATTTCAATTATTGTATTTATATATCATGTGCAACACTCTATGAACAATGGCATTTTGTCTGGCTGCAATATGCAAATAAAGAGGAACAAGAGGCCCAGAGGACCTGTGTTGTTCACCTGAATCTTTATGACCAACATTACTATATCTGGGCCAGGTGAGCTAAAAATTAAAGTCTCAACTGATCTACCACTTATTTGGTCGGACGATTCAGGCAGTTTGACAACTCTAGTATGAAACAAGATGTGCAATTTTACATATAAAAGACAGAAAAGCTTTCCAATAAGAAAAGTTGATTTTATAGCACTAAGCATTTTGCATTTCTAAAAGCTTCTCATTAAACTTAACCATCTATTCTAATATATACTAATAACATATTATCTGAAAGTGATAGTTTCTTATGTCTGGTACAAGACTATCTTCTAACCAGGTGTAGATCCTCACCTTTTTATACTTCTCAATATCAATGCACTCAAGCTGACTTAGACGGACAAGATTTGTGCCAACCAGGATCCTCAGTTCCCGTCTCTCTTGTTCACGTTTCACACGGTCTCTTGAATGGCCCTGATGTTGCATACGCACCCACAACTTGTTCATTTCCGAAAAGTTCAACAAGATGAAGTCTATTGAATCGAGTACAGTGCCAGCCTCATAATCACCACTATTACAGAGAAACAGGCTTTTGTTATTTAAGATGTCTTAAATATTGAATTTGAAAACTCATTAAGTACAATATTCAAATCCAAAAGTACAAAGAGATTCCACGAGAAATTAATACAATGTACTATAAATCCAGTAAAACATATAGGGTATATGTCTGCTGCCTCTTTTGTTGAAACAGAGTTAAATGTAAAATCTGGTCAGGACAGAAAGTTTTAACTCAAAATGTGTCAAACCTTTGCCATAATTCAATTTTCCACTATAGAAATCCATAGCATCTTAGACCCTAAGAACTTTCATACAATTAATAGCTGCTAGAGAATTTCACAATAAAACTTTTACATATTTTACATCAATAATAATTATCAAACTACAAATTCTCACTGTAGATTTAAAGATTTAACATGTAAGCAGAGACAAAGTTAATATTACCATCTCATTTTGAATAATGATATCTATAATCATTACCATGGAAAATATGTTTGTGAACAATGAACTACAAGTTATTTCATATTCATTTATAAAAACTCTGTTTTTTTTATACCTTGATGTGTCCTCCTCACTGTCAGGAAGTACATTCTTTGTACATTGAAGAAGGTAATTCCTGAGAAAGAGACCGCGCAAAGGGTGCTGGACACCTCGACACATCTCCACAAGGTCCTTTAGGATGTCCTTCCGTGACAACTCATTTGATTTGATATATACCACACCAACAGTTATCAACAGATACCTGTAGAAAACAACAGCAGTATAACAAGAACAATCTATCAATGGCTCTCAATATCAATGTTGAAGCTCATGCTCAAACACACTTGATCCCAAATGCTGTATAATCAGTCAGAGCTGACCTGGACTGGTAAATGACATATAAGATCACAGCATTGTTTGAACCTTTCACAAGCAGTCAGGTTTTGGGTTCATGAGCTATATTTGAAAAGAATTTTCAGAGAATCACTTTATAGTACTGTAATACAGCTAAAATCATTATTTGTATATACATTGATATACAGCTGATTCAAGTCGTCAATACTAGTCAATGGTCAACTGTGATTGGAACCAGGGGAATAAAGTTTTGAATGTTAACTGATATCAAAAGCATAAGTGTGTTACTTAAATGATATAAATAATTGTATACAGGCCATTAAAACAAGACCTTTGTTTATGATTTAAAAAAAAACTTGGCCATTATTTTCTGTATACATTAGCAATCACAATCTGAGAGATGTTTTATTCAAATGATTAAATGCTTGGGAGTGTTCACATGTTCCACTCTGGTCAACATTTTTGACTGTTAAATAGCTTGTTATTATTACCATATTCCAGTACTTTTCTCAAAGAACGGTAGAAAATTCTTAATTTACATTCACACAGAAAGTTAGACAAAAAAATAGCAGGTAAAGTATCTAACAAATCTACAACAGTAAAATACTCACAATCGTGGGACAATGTTGCCTGCATATTGTACCAATTCATACAAATCTGCAACCTTGCGACCTTTTTGAAATTCATCCACTAAATACAATTCAAGGTGACGTAACTCATCAGATATCGCCATGTCTGAACAAGGTCAAGGATACCATGATTTTAGTATGATCAATATTCATATACTTTGATCTGGGAAAAAATTTGTAGAAACTGACCAATCTGCACCATGTGTGCATTGTGATAAATCTGAGAGCTAGCATGACAAGGATACAAAGTTCATAGTAACTTTTAGGGGACAACATAGATGTCCTAAGCTCCCCAAGCATGGTAGATGCATGCTTAAGACCATCCATCAGCTTTCCTTTGTCCTACATCAGTAAAGAAAATGTACAGTTGACAGAATTAACAAAAGGTATGTAAAATCTTCATTTGATTCACAGCTTATTCCATAAATCAGTCTCAGTTAAGAAAAATTCCATTCAACACTTAATGTATCATTATGAATCTTTACATTTTTACCTTTCTGGCACCTCCTATTTATATGAAAATTTGTCCATGTTAGAATTTGTGACTTGCAAGTTTTCTTGAATTTGATATCATAAATCTCCAATAGGATTTTGATATGAAAATCAATATTCATGAATACATTTAAAATCTATTGAAGAAAACTGAATTTTGATTATACATTGAAAGTTATCAAAGCCTGCATATTCTATAAATGAAATTCTGTTATGACTAGTACTGCACCCTAATACTAAGATTATTTAATATTAAAATTCAATCCAAAACCAGAACTATTTCTTAAACTGCAGGAAATATGTGTTGGGATAAAAAACTGATGTTCAATTGTTTTATATTTCATGTTGGATAACTATTTTATTGATGCACTTACCAAACATCTTTTCATCTGGAAAGACTGATTCTTGACAATGTTATTAGCTTCTTCAAGTAGTTTCTCCTGCTCCTCTTGGGGAGATAGTTGTGGTGTGGAAGGCTAAAAAGACATAAGAGGTACAGGTAAGTGTGTAAGTTTTATAGGCAAATCTTATTTGGATTGTTTTAATATTCTACTAAAGCAAATCATGTGTGTTCGCGACACGAGTGACAGGTTATATGTACAGTCCTCCACTTAAGAGTGGCATCATCTACATTTACATTTGACTTATATAACACATGCAGGTACACGTATAAGCGTAACGTCAGTGGCACAACAAAGCATAAAATCTATATGCATACCTAAATTCATAGTATAGATAATTTAATGGCTTCTGACAAAATGATGTAGATCGAACTCTCTGGACTTTAAGTTTTGTAAACATAGACAATACAACATTCACTTATAAAATAACTATTCTCCTTTAAGTTGATAAATGTTCATTCAATATATTTGTTCGGCCCCCTTATTCCTAGGTTGGTGAATGGCATTTGCTCCCTTCCTCCCCCCGCCCAACCACTTCATAAATGTCATGCGAAATATGTTTAACTTGTGGTTTTTCTTGTTTGAGAATGAACTAATTTCCTTCAAACATGGCACATCAGTATAATGGCATCGCATCACATATTACCATGACTGTTTTCACTTAATATGGACGTATAACCGGTAAATCTCGCAGTAATATCTGGTAGGAATTTTTAATGATCTTCCTCATCAACCTCCCACCATATTGGTATCATGTGACCAAGGTAGAATATAATTGAGCTTAAATTGAATCGGAGGAGATGCTTATATCCGGAAATACGTATTGCTAGTAATTTTATTATATCATACAGACATGCATATTGGAAAGAATGAATGATTTTTTCTTACATCATTTTACAAATTAATTTTCAGGCATGTAAAGGTTTCATATCAGTAATTTAAATTAGTTACCTTTTTTGCGCTGCTATTATCTATTTACATACTTTCTTGTCCTGGGGTTATTTAGAATATCAACATAAATTTTTAACTATATTGAAATATAAATAAATTCACTCATTATGGGTACAGGTACAGTAAATAATGTATAGATATAAAGCGTTTTGAAAATAAATCTCCCCGTCTTTATCCTTTACGTCATTCTTTCATCACTTTATAATGGCCTTCTGCGTGAATAACACGCTTACAATCGTCACATCATGTAACACAAACGTTACGATGGGCCAGATTCTTAATTAAAACAACATCGCGGGAAAACTGACGAAATTTTAACATTCGCGAAAATGAGTAAACAAGCGATGAGTGTAATGTCTTCAAAGCTGGGCATTTCCTCACATAGAACGATACAGTAAGTTTCTTAGATCAATGTGATTTTATAGAGAGGAATATGAGGATTTCCTCTCATTAATATGGATAACTTTTATTTTGTAATGATTTCCTGAAATGACATTGACGTGTTTTACAGGAAGGCGAAGGAATTACAACAGCTGATGGATATACGTGTTGGCAGTGGATCGCTGACAGCACTTGGTATCACAGGATCATGCCCACTTATCATGTGTCTGGACCTGGCAGCCTCGTCCACTGGACAGCCTATCACTAAGGTTATCTTCAACCTACTATATTTACGTGTATCTGGTAATACGTCCACTTCCTTGTAATAAGCAGGGTTAGGTATATTACTACTCGGTAAAATAACAGACCAATGCTTTTTTTTTTTTTTTTTTGACTTTTTCATATAAGCCCAACCCTAGTTTAAATTCATCTTCAATACTTTAGTGGTTACGTGCACGATTGCAGGGACGTATATGCTCTTTGCACATCTGGAAAATTTTGTAACAAAATTGAAGGTTTCATTTGAGACACCTTGTGGATAAGACGAGAACACTAGTTTGATCCTGTGATGTACATCAATTTAAATGAATTAGGACATCACATAACAGAATGACCTACTGGCTTTGAAGTTGGCTGTCGCTCCAATGTGATCTTCAAAGGAGCGTAGCATTCTGTGACTGGTCAAATTTTTTTCTCCCGAAACCTACTCTAGACCAATCAAATTACTCTGCTTAGTACATCAATTTTGCCATTAAATGTTCAAGGGATACAGAGAGTGAATGTTTTCTTAACTCCTGGATGGTCCAAATATTCTGACACTATGTCCCTGTTTTGAGAAGATGAATGTCAGAACTTTGGCCAAATGTAATGTGAGGGAAAAATCATCTTGTACCAGGGTTGGTATACATATGATCTATATGGAAATTAATGAAATGATCATTTTCACATGCATGCTCAACTTGTCCACCCAACCCCCTTACTTTCAGTAAAATGCATTGTACTGACCGTCTTTGGTTATTGTAGCATAAATTTTATTAATGTATTTTTGTGGTTTAACAAGGTAAAAGAAATAGCTGCTTTTGTTTCTGTGATGGAAGTACAGTGTTCTAATTGTACTGTTTTTCCTTGTCTTAACAAATCATGATTTTTAACTGAGGATGTAATTTTTGTAAGAGTGTTGGAAGCAGAAACCATGATCATTGAAAATTTATGAAACACTCATGAAGTGTCTTATACAGTAGCTATATGTGATATGCTGCAGTGTCTCCATGAAAGAATTTGCACATAAAATTGTATATTTTTGTAACAGACAGAAGCCATTCGTCTTTCTGGTGTGAATAAGAAAGTGTATTCCAATGGTCTGAGGGCCCTGGAGAGTATGTTGGAGATTGAGGTCAAACAAACTATCAAAGACCTTGCTGTACAGTTTGGCTGTTCAGGGGCAGTAACTCTAGCTGAACAGGCCCTTCAGAGGTAAATGTTCAATCAACAATGGACACCTGTGTCCATGATAAAAAATGGCTGTGATATGTTAATTTATTAAAGAATGATAATGTATGTATGTGGTACTCCCTTTGACAAATATAGAAAGTCCAATTAAGCTTTGTTCAATAAAACAACAGAGTCTGGTTTTTACCAACTTGATATCCAAGTCCAGTATGTGTAAGTATACTTCTTGTCACTGGTTAATTGAATTGTTTGGTGAAATTACTGTTTGTTCTGGCTAAGCACTTTGCTTAACTCTCTAAAGATTGATTTTTTATTAAGAATAATTAAGAAATTAAAAAATAATTTGTATTATATTAGTTGCTTTCTTTTTGATGTGTGATGCTTAATGTCTACGTGCCATTTTAAGGGGATGTCTATCTGTTACATCCTGTCCCATCCCGAAAATTGAAAACCTTGCAATTTTTTTTATTGGTTATGGTAAAGGTAAAGCTGTTGTCAAAATGTAATCTATAATTTAATTTATTTCATTGCCCTTTGAAAACCTCTCAACAGTTTAGGTTCAGCATTACCCAATACATGCCTGATTATATTAAGGTTGGCATCAGTTAAGGTAAACTTCCATCTAGTATATTTATAAATAGATATGGCAACTATGACATTCATGTTTTAAAGGTATGGCGTATTTTCTATTTTCTATTTATCATATATCATGCAGATGTGTGTATGAAATGGTTTTGGAATTTGTTTGAATATGGATGATTTTTACTTGTCACTTGAAGGTGACATTTAGATATAGATATTGACATAATGTTGTCTTGTGTGATTATAGATATGAAGAAAGTCATAACAGTAAGTCCTGTTCTCAGATGGACTTCTCTGCCCCTATGTTCCAAGCCTCAGCTCTGTATGCTGCCTGCAGGTAAGGATTTCACTAGAGAGGGTGTAATTATATTCTGGTTAAACATGATAAATTTGATAGGAAGCCCCTAGCGAGGGAGGGATGGAATGCCTAAATTCTGTCCAAATTTGGTCTGAGACGTGTGGGGGAAGGGATCAGTTTTGTATGAACAGCGGGTTCTGGCCCCCAGAGGAGGAAGGAGAAGGGCCTACTAGTGGAAATAGAGCAAATTCTTCAAAATTCTCCCTCTGTTGGAACTGGACATTCTTGGTGAGGAGAACAAAGATTTGTACAAACAGTGCAGCTAATCCCCATTCGGTTTGGTTTGCAGCTAATCCCCATTCGGTTTGGTGAGGAGAACACCAAACTAATAGTCTATTTAATTGCTGATTCCTGGTTAAGAAATTGGAAATTCAAATCATACTTAGTCATATCTTAAGTTTGATTTTAATTGTTGTCAAATACTTTTGGACTAGAATATGTTAAGCTCTGTAAAGTGTGTATGTAGCTCTTTTTCTTCCATCTATCAGAATTGAACTTGATTTCAACATTGTAGCTTCATAGTTTTTCACTGTAGAAATCTGTGAATTTTTGTTAAGGTTTGTATTTTTCTTTTTCAGTTAAAATCAAAAATTTTTGTTGTAAATTTGTAACTTTTTTTCTGAGCAAAATCCAAAAAGTGACTCTTGGTGATGAAATTTATTTCGTTGGTTATTTCTGATTCATAGGACTGTAGCTTTTATAAGAAGGGTTGAAATATTTGCAATCAAGGAAAGAAATATTTTAAGAGGTATTTGTTTTTCAAAATGACACCAGGAAATTGAAGACAAAAGTTGATAGAAAAAAAATTGTGGAGGTGTGTGGAATCAAGCGGACAACTTTTGATCGCCTGGTGGCAGATCTTGAAAAACAAGTGGAGACAATCATTGGTATGGATAACTGAGTGATGATATTGTGTATAGTAAAGAATTTAGTGTTTCATATTTTCACAGTGTTTGTGTTACAATTTTTTACTTCAATATTTAGTGCTTGTAGGAAACTAAAATATTGGTTACTTCAATTTGTTAGAAAGATTTTAATGAAACTTTGAATCTGAAGCCTTATGCTGTAGTATACTCTTAGGGATTTAAATATCAGACAATAAAAAAAAAATTTAAAAAAATTATAGAACAGGACGTGTTATTTAGAAATGTCAGTTAGATGTCAATAAAACAACTTGTCTTCTTTTTAAGGTGAACAAAGCAAGGTGAAATCAACCAATCAAAAACGGCGACAGTCGTTGATGGATGATGTTGAGCGTCATATGAAAGGTAAACTTTAGTTCTAAAGACAAATATGTTGAAGACATCCTTTCTGCTCTGATCAGTTATACATGACAAGGTAGTCTCAATCCTCATCACTATTGAAAGCTGATGGTATAATCAACTGAACAAGAACTATAGCTATTTTTCTTTGTTTTTATCTTTATAAAGTGATAAAAGCAGCATACATTACCTAAAATGTGCAAGTTGAATTCAAGTTGATTTCAATGTTTTACTCTCACAGAGGAGGAAAGTAAACGAACAAAGATTGAAGATTCAGAGGAGAGTGGTGGAAATGTTGATTATAAAGACTGGAAAAGGAGAATTCTAGAGAAAGCTTTAAAAGCTAAAGAGACAGCTATGGCAGATAAGGACACAAATAATGCTGATGACTCTTGATGTTTCTACATTTGAATATGAGGTCACATTTGAATATGAGGTCTAATTTGGAGCATTTTTGAGATATAAAGTTACAGACACCAATCTTTAAATATTTCCTGTGGTATATATGTGGATTGATAACTGTTTTACCTTACTAAGACACCAACCTCCAAACGTCATTTGCAATATAATTTGTATTTAAAGCAATATGCTACAATTATCAGTGGTACAAATCTCCTTTTGAAAGAGCTCCACTTTTGTCAGTGTACAAAATGTTCTTGTTATGAATGGTTCTGTGAACTTGTGAGAAATTAATGCCTGCAGAATTTCGACAAGTTTAAATTTTCTTGGCAAGTAATTCTGATAAGTCAGGAAATCTTTAAATGTGTGATGAGACATTTCAAGTTTATTTACAAACTAGTTTCGCTTACTAGCCTCAAAAATATGGCCGTCCGCATATTAGGTCATATTGCTTCTCTCAGCTTTCCTCTGCATTCCATCTTCTTTACGACATCACAGTCTTTGGAACAGTTAATATTTATGTGTACTGATAAAACAATTGCAGGAAAGTTGTTTTCCTTCTTTGAATCTTTGCATCGGAGTTGGAGAAAAAAGAAACCCAACTCATTCTGAGTAATTTTCAAATTCAGGGCCTGCGACCCCTTAATTACAGAGTTATTGCCCTGTAATGTAAAATAATTTATTTTTGTAGGGAATTTCATACATTTGTTTTACTGTGTACTTTTAGTCCATGATTTCATATGTCCATGAAGTGTATTGAGAGACATTCATCAACAAAATCCCTAGTGATTTTTTGAAAAAAAAACCCACGAAAATTCAGACCCACAAAAAAATATACAGAAGTCTTTTATGTTTACTCATTCATATTGATGATTTAAATCAATGATATGAACTTCTTGTTTATTTAGAATAAACACATGTCCATGTATTCAAATTAGGTAAAGTAAGATAAATGCATTTCAAGTCAGCTGAAAGGGACATCACAGACAGTAATGACATAGAAACTGGTTGGACAAATTTATACCCCTTAATTACATATTGTATGGCATGGTGCTATCTCAATACTTACAGTCCACAAAGAATGTCAATATTATAGCTCATATCGGATTTCAAACAGGAAAACTAGTTTTTTACAACTAAGAATTTTGCATAAAAATAATTTATTAAGATTCTACATTCAGTCTGTTGTGAATTGGAATGTACAAAGAACATTATACAGCTGATAACAGCTTAAACTGTATTCATTATACATATCTAGAACATTTGTCATTTCAGCATCACATGTTTGCCCTTCGGGGCCCTCTTCACAACACACATGCTTACATGTCGAGATGTTTCTCATTGCTACAGCAATTATTTCATTGTTTGCAGTCTTTCCATAGGTCATACTGACTTCCTGGCTCGGGGATTATTCCAGTTCCACCGCCATCGCTCCGGACACCATATTGTTGTTCCCTCTGATACTGATGTTAAATCCATTATGTTGTTGGCTGACATTTCAGGTTTCCTTTTATGTAATTATCTGATTTAATTATTGATTTTATCTGTTAATTTCTCAGCAAATACCGACCATATAAAGACCTGTACCTAATGCATTAATTCAGAAATTAAGAGAAAGATTAAAAAAAAAAAATTGATTGTGATGTCCCGTTAAGTAGATCGATGTAAATACACTGATGTAACTGTATGGTTATACAATTAGGAATTGGCATGAAGGGAACAGGAGCGTAATTTTATTAAACACTTTTTTTTTCGTGTTGATAAAAAAAAATTAATTGGTTCTTTATCGTCTTTTGTTGTATTTAAATTTTCCCTTAAGTTTTATCACGTTTTTCTGTTTTTAAGATCAAGAGGAAATTTTGTCAGGACTGAAAAAATAAATGGGGTCTTAGAATTACTTAAATCTGTCTGTATTGATCATAGAAGGTGATGAAATGTTTGATGTGACATAAGAAACACCTTGAATAAGAGGATAGGTACTGGAAAGATCAGTGACTTCTGACCAGGAAAATACATTGGATCACCTGCCCAACCATGTGAATTTCTCTGGCAGGTGTTGTTTCCTCCCACTGTAGACTCTGTGCTGTGAGCTTCCATCAGTGCCACCAAGAAGGATTTCATTTAAGTTCGTAAAAACTTGTTTCATATATTATATTGTAGACTTAAGATTTATGTTCACAAATAAAATGTTTCCCTCGTTACATGTACCAGATTTTATCTTATGAGTGTCAAGTACCAATAAAAACACATTCACATTTAAAAATTCTCAAGATATTAATTAGCAAAACCATTACACAGTGGATTTTTGTTTTGCATCAAGAATAGTAAAATGTTCTTATATTTAAACATATCTCCTTTACTGTCATACCAGGCACCTGGTGTTCAAGTTTGGTAACAAGCCTTAAGTGGCATACATTTGAATGTACAGTGTTGTGATTAAATGTTACAGAATTAATGTGATAAGTGAACTGAATTTTACAATAAATAGATAGAAAGCGAGTGAACTGTGTGAGTGTTTCTGTGCAAGTTTTAATTAGATTTCAGTCTGATGGAACACATTTATGAAACCATTATGATTTAACACAGCTGAAAACCAGATGAGAAAAAAATACATTGCATGTATACATATATATGTACGAGGTACAGAAATAACTACCATCATGATATTTGCAAGACAAGCATGTACTAGCAGTAATGGCTGTTGAAACATTACAAACAGATATGATTTCCACACCCCTGACTCTAGGATCAGTACTGGCTGTTGAAACGTTACAAACAGATACGATTTCCACACCCCTGACTCTACTAGCAGTACTGGCTGTTGAAACGTTACAAACAGATACAATTTCCACATCCCTGACTCTACTAGCAGTACTGGCTGTTGAAATGTTACAAACAGATACAATTTCCACACCCCTGACTCTGGCTTAAAAATATTGAGCTTATTGCAGGAGAGATACCGTATGGCCAACTTTTCATGATATTGTGTAGATCATAGTCCTGATAACATTAAAAGAAAAATGATAAAAATTAAGAATAAGGTGACACTGGTAATGTAATTTTACTGTACTATATACAACAAACTACACACACATTGTAGTATGTCTAATGTAAAGTTAAGATAATAACCTCTTTGATGGAAATTTTGTATTGGAGCTTTAATATCCTGTCTAAACACTGAGCAATAAAGGAGTGAAATCTGAAGACATATGTCATCAATAATGTTATTTCTGTTTGACTTCTTTGGGGAGGGGAGAGACATTTAATTTGAAATAAAATCCCGTCTTTGATGTCACATGTACAGCATGGAAGTATTCAGATGTTAATATTACACACTCAACTGTAGTGGTAGTAAGTTCTTAATATTATATAATCCCTTCCATCCCTTGATCCCACATGTGGTCGTGTAAAATATTCATAGACTGGATAATGTACTGTGTAGCTGATTGACGACAGAATTCTGTGTAACAGATTATACGCTCTGTGACTTTATGACATTATGGATGAAGAAAGTTTTCATGGTATGGTGATAAAAATGTACAGGTTCATGAGGAGAATTAAATCAGAAATTTAAAGAATAATAAAATGATAGTTAATATTCAGGAGATGTACATTTCTGCTAACTACAGCAATCTTATTATATAAAAACATGACACTGATTTATATTTGCAGCCAAGAAGCTCTAAATTTCTTTATATACCAGAGTTGAAGAAATGTTTGAAAGGTAAAAAATGATCATGTAAAAATGCCTTTAAACTTTAGTTTGTGCTATAGAAATATTTCAGGCAGAAGTCCTAATAATCTCACATTTGCATGCTATTTATGTGACTCATTTGAATAATGGGCTCGTTAAAGTTATGATGGTACAGGTGTATAAATATGTTCAATATTCACACCAAGGAGAGATAAAACTTGAAAACCATTGGATTTTGAAGTGGAACTTTTTCTTTCAAATAAAAAAAGTACAGGAGCTACATTCAACAAATTTCATTGACAACAAAAGAAAAAAAATTGTCGATTTGACATCAGTCATGACCTGCCTTAGTCTGCTGTAGTTGTACAGCACTGCGTAGTAATAAGTCCATCCTGATCTATTGCTGTTCAGTAGAGTTACAGGCAAATGTTATTTCACTGTCCTACAGTAAACCCAATCCCCAGTCTGAGAGGGAATCTGTATGTTGGTCCCAACCTTGAGTCAGAGGTAGCACATTGACCCGCTGTTTATTGTCATGTAATAAATTTATTGTCCTGTAAAAAGGCCATCTCGTGACAGAGTCAGAGGTTATATGGTGACCAAACTCGGCTTATTGTCCTGTAAAAAGTCCACCTCGTGACATTGAGTCCGGGTTATATGGTGACCAAACTCGGCTTATTGTCCTGTAAAACGTCCATCTCATGACATTGAGTCAGAGGTTATATGGTGGACACAATGGGCTTATTGTCCTGTAAATGTCCATCTCATGGCAATGAGTCAGAGATAATGTATTAGCCCCTGGGCTTATTGCTGGACCAATATTGTAGTACTGTTTAAGTTTATTTATGGCCCATTGCCTTCTGAAACATACCAATGTATGGGGATTTGTTTGGTATTTGGATGGTTTGAATGTTACAGTGGATATATATGTTTTGGTATTTTGTATACAAGAAGTTCACATCAGTAATTATGTAATGGTGTTTAAAAAGTCAGAAAGTCAGCAGAAAAATATCTCTAAGTACATACCTGTAGTTTCAAGTAGTTTAAGATTTCATGTGCAAATATTGAATCACGACTCTTTAGTTGCCAAAAACTTTTATTTCATTCTTATGAAATTCAATTGCATACCACATGTGTGTTGTATTATCTTGAAATAAATATTAAGAAACTGAAGTGGTCTTGCTTTTTATGTCAATAAACACAGGAACAAAGCTCTTGTTGAAAACTTACCGAGCTCAAAAGTCATTTTCACTGTTAAAAGAGGTCAATTTTATCTTATAAGATGTCTGTAGGTTGTTTAGTTAGATGTGCAGAAATTTAAAAAATGTAATAAAGGAGAGATGATAACAGATTTATTGTTATCCTTGTTTTTGCTGATCCTAAGTGCTTGTCTTTTCACAGGTGACAATCATTTGATATCTTAAAATGGCAATTTCATTCTTTACTTCCTGTGACAAGAAGGAAATCTTCAATGTTTTATGAAAGAACTTTTGCCATTATTGCATTTAAACTTCTTGATACACTTTGTGTATAAAGTTTTGCTCTCCCCTAAATTACCCTTTTGAGTGTGCCAAAATAATGAAAACTTGGAATAATTGGAGCATATCACCCAAGGACTACATTATTCAATAAAAATATGAATGGAAGTGAGAAGACCAATACATCAGAGATGCTAATGACAAGAACCTCCTCCCTCCTCTGTCCGCCAATACCCCAGTAACCAGATGTTTTGATGAAAGATTCCTTTATGTGAAATGAACATCATCCACATATTTCTGAAAAGTTCATAAGCTGATGAATTTTTAATTCAAATTTTTGGAAAAAGTTGGTGTTTTCTGTTCATATATGGTAATTTGAAATCTATTGTTTTACTTTTGAGTTATATTCCTCGATGTATAATTAAAACCAGAATTTTTAAATTGATAAATGAATTAAGAAGAAGAAGAAAAAAAAACCCTGCATCCCCCCTCCCCACCAAAAAATAATAATGATAAAAAAAAAAAAAAAACGAAAATTAGTGTCCATAGGTGGAAATCAGTTCACTGA